GATGTATTTTGATGTTTTTAAAAACATCAAAATACATCAACTAAAATTGAGATATCTTGAATACAAAATTGAGATATTTAGCAATAAAGTTTATTATTTAAAAAAAAAAAAACTATTTGTGTTTGTTGCAGAAGAGGTCCAGCAGGACATCCCAGAATGCAATTTTGATCAATTAACAGGAGTTTCACAAAGTGGATAGGCTTTGCTATGCACCAAGGTTACAGTGCTGATACTATCTACACAAATTTTGCTAAGGCATTCAATAAAGTCCCGCACAAACGTCTCCTACATAAACTGAAAGAATACGGCATTCACAACAAGATGCTACTTTGGATTGAAATTTGGCTAAAAGATCGTAAGCAACATGTTGTAGGAGAACACGTTTCTGAGTGAAAGAACATCACAAGTGGAGTTCCTCAAGAATCTATCTTAGGGCAACTGCTCTTCATTTTGTTTATAAGCAATTTTCCTGATTGTATCGTTCACAAGATATTACTATACGCTGATGACAGCAAAACTATTGAGATCATAAAGTCAGCATCGAGTATCACAACTCTTCAGGCAGACATTGATAATGCGGTTACATATTCAAATACCTGACTCATGCACTTTAACATATATAAATGTAAAGTGATGCATGCAGGTTGTCCTAAGAAATGTTAATCACATGAATACTTTAAGCCTGGTCCCTATATCTAGAAACAGACATTAAGTTACTTGAGGATGTTCAAGGCCGCGTCACTAAGACAATATCATCTATCAGCCATTTTGATAAAATAAAGTGTTTGCAGATACTCAAATTTGCCACCTTCAAAGAACGTTGTTACGTGGAGATATAATCCAACAATTTAGGATTTTCAATAACATTGATGAAGTTCATTTTTAGGTCCCACAGCACTAACTAATTAAGTGTGAGGTGTACAACTTGCGCAACCATGACAAGCAGCTCAACCATTAATTCGTGAGAAGATAAAAGGAGAGATCAAACTTTTTCACAAACAGAGTTACAGTCCATTGGAACTCTCTCACACAGCACACTGTAAATACTCCAACTTTGAATACATTTAAAGATCAGGTTTTGTTTTGATAAACTATTAAATCAGCATAGAGGCACCTGGAAAAGTCTCTTCATCAAATTATTAATTTAACATTTAAATATATACATACATATTTTTTTTATTATTATTACAGCATTACTGCAATTAACATATATTAACTTGGTTACTGAATATATCAAACTCAAACTCATATATTGTATATAATTATTTGTTGTATTTACTGCCACCAATGAGCAGGAATAAAGGACAATCCTTATAGTCTATAATAATGTTTAATGTATAATATTTCAATGTTATGTAAAAAAGTTTAAATTCTTTTACATAACATAGAAATATTATACATTTAAACATAAAGACTTTATGTTTATTATTTTAATATTATTTTAAAAGGCTTCAATTTTTTTGCGAATGTTCTATATGGGTGGCTCTTTGTTATTTTAATTAATTTATTACTTTACTATAGTATAAGTATAAAACAAATTTAAACATAAAGTATTAGTATATAAAATACCTTAACAACTTAAACTCCCCATGATCCTCTAGAAGTATGGCCACTCTTAAGAAGGTATAAATTTCGTTTACAATTACCAAATATGACATTAGGAAAAGTAATAATATTTTTATCATAACCATCATATATGCAGAGTCTGATCATATCTTGTATTCGGGTGGTGACTTTTTTTTTTTTTAATTATTAACCTTCCCAAGCCCCGAGGGGGCCACTACAGTCGAGGAGGCTTGTAAATTGTGGTACAACCCTCTCTCAACTCTTTAACTCCAAAACACGAACCTTGACAAGCAAGACCGCTGCGCGGAGAAATTAAGTTGAGCGCGGTACTTTCAGGAACGTGGTGGGAGTCGAACTCCAAACCTCTCTCATTTTATGTGAAAATTGATTTGACAACTTTACTGTCTTAGTAAGTGAATTTAATTTTAATTACGATTAAACCATCCCGAAAAATCCCAGGTGACACTCCATCAAACCGAAATTGCTCTCTGGTCCACAGTGCAATCAACACTAATTGAATGAAATGTTAAAAAGTAGACAGTCCCAAAGGATCAAATTTATTTCTTTCCCAAAGGATCAAATTTATTTCTTGTAATTTTCACTTAATTATTGTAACCATAAAAGTTTATGCATAGCACTTTTTGGGTTTGGGCAATATATTATGAGGATTAATTTCAATACGACATTGAAATTAATCCACAAAATACACTGATTTTAAAAAAATCAATATTTAAGATTAATCTATTGATAAAATACAATACTTTAATTTATAATAAAATATTTTCAATAAACCATTTCACTTAACCTTTTTAGCATATTATTTTGAATCAACCAAAAATAAAAATGGTACAAATAAATATTAGGCCCTTTTAACAAAATATTTCATTGAAAATTGGGTTTAAAAAAAAGCAAGTTTATTTAGAAAACAAAAAGAAACAGATATTTGATTTGTCAGAAAACGAATCCAAATCAAAAAAAAAAGTCTAAAAATTTTGTAAATAGTCTCTGAAAGAGAGTTTTGTTTCCATTTTTACTCTATTTATTAGTAAAGATGTTCAAAACATCATTTACACTTCTGGCAAAACTGGTATGTAGCAACAACATTTTTGTTCTTAAACTTTTCCTACTATTTCATTCAGGATTTTCAATAGTTATGTAGCCTTCTGTATTTGAAACTTTTGTACAATAAATATCAGAGATAGTTATAGATATCATTAATTACAACACCTTGGAGATAAAACTTTCCATTGTTTTCAGTTACATTGGCAAGGAAATGCTTTGCTATTGGTAAACCAATAAATTTTGTATTTTGAAAGCGATTGAATTATTTTTTAGCTTGTTAAACTAATGTTAGGGAATAAATTTTGATGATGCCAATATGTCTATTCCATCACTTCAAAAAGATTTTGATAACATTTTTGGTGATACAAGAATTGCAATAAACAAAGCAACATAAAAAACTATTATAACATGAAAATACTTCTTATGGTATTCTTTAAAATAATTTTGTCAGAAAAAAGTTTTTTTTTTTTAAAGATTTCTCATAGAAAATACATATTTATATAAATAAAAAAACTAAGTATAACATTCATTAACACTTTATATAAAAATTGACTTTAAAAACGTTTCAGTAATTAAAAAAACTTTAGAAAAGATCGAGGTTATGGAATTGTAATGGTCTTCAAAAACATATATCATTTTTATTAAACAAAGCTTTTAATCTTTTTAAGAAAACTTTTTTGAGCAAATTATTTTGAGCAAATTAACATTTATGATTTTTAATTAAAATTTAACTAACATTTATGATTTTTAATTTAAACATTAAAGAGACTATAATTGTATATAAAATGGAATTTTTTTTTAAATATTGTTTATTATATGCAAACTTATTTATATAACATATATATAAAAAAGTTATATACAACTTTTATAGATACTTTAAACAAAAAAAATTATCAGTAATTTGTTACTTAATTCAAAAGATTTCCACTAATATAAAAACATTAGTTAGGATAAAAGCTTCAATTTATTCTATGCATATATTGATGATTTCTAACCTATAATTCTAACGTATAAATATAAAATCTTTTTTATTCAGTGCGTTTTTGAAATGTTAATAGCAGTTGTCAAATTATCAAAACAAAATTTTATTTGTATGGTCATAAAATTTTGCTTTTTTCTTAGCAGATGGTTCAAAAATTAATTTTTTATTAAATAAAATGTCTTTCAATTTTTGATATCTGGAAATATTTCTGGTCATCAAATTTTCAGTTTATTAAAAACCATGAACACAGTTTTAATGAAACGATCAATATCCTATTGCAAAATTTAATGAAAAAACAAAACAATAAATTTTCAAAAATAGTAACAGTCAAAACTTACATATTTTTAAATTATTTTTTTTTTAAATGCAAGGCAATTTAAGGATTATAAATAAATAAAAAAACTGTAGGTAAAAATAATAATTACTAAAGTTAATAATTAAAAAAACAACCAATAAAAAACTATATTAAAGCTATTTGCTGTATGAAACATTAAAATTGATTTTTGTTTAGGAGGAAACTTTATGGAATTGTTTATTTAAAAATTTAAATGTTTCAAATTAGAAATTAATTAATTGATAATAAAATTAATTATAAAAAAGATATACAAGCTATTAGAGTGTTTTTCTTTTGTTTTAAAATAACTATAAAAAGTTACAATTTGTTTTTATAAATTTTTAAATTCTTCTGTCTTTAATTTTGTATATAAATCCGCTAAAGAGTTACAACTATTTAATTTTAATTTAATTCATAAGAAAATATTGAGATTTAAAAATAAAAAAATATTTTATATCTTATTTCACGATTTCTTTTAATTAAAATATTAGATAACCACTAAATTCCTTTAGACTGTTGTGATTTGCGTTAGTTTTTTAATATTACATCATTCTGTATGCTTTGTTTTTCTAGTTTTATCTGATGATTTATAAAATGAATTAAAATATTAAAGTTAAAATTTTTTAATATTAATAAACATAATAGTAATAATTTGGTTTAATGAGATTTTTTATCATAATTCAAGATCAATATAAATATTATTGAATAAAAGCTATTTAGTGATAAAAAGAGAGTTTACAGTTTTTAAAAAGCTAAAAATTTAAAGACAGGAAGCATTTGAGTCATTTAATTATATACATTCTATATAATCAATATTGATACTTCAAACGAAAACTACTACATTGTTTTTCTAAATGTAGATAACCATTTATTGTTGATCAGTCATTATTTCCAGTGCTGAAATAATACTTTTGTAAATGAAATTGCAATTAAAAGGTTTGCAAATAAAATTTGTGGTAAATAAAAACTTAAGAATCGATATAATTCAAGTGTAATTAAAAGAAAGAAGACATTTTACACATAGCTCATTTACAATAAACAAAAAAACAAACATACGTATTGTGAGAAGATGCAATCCAGTAGCAGGAGAGTGGTTTTGTCATATCCTGACATACTTTATTTTGTTCCTCGTTGAATACACTATTCGCTGGACTGAATAAATATGTGAGAAACTAAAAATGTATAAATAATTGTATGTTAACATTTTATGTATAAAACAACTCTAACATTTCTTAAAATCATTAAATGCAAAAACAATAAAAACAGCAAATATAAAATTAAAAAATAAGTCAATGAAAATATTAGACAACGGTTACTTGAACATTTGACAGTAAAACAAGCTGAAGAACAATTTCTGAAAGCATCTGAGTCAGCTCAAGCAACATTTAAAAAATGCAAAAGAAGTCATACACCAACAATTTAAAAAAGTCATATTATTTGTTAATTATCTTGCTTAAACTGATTGTAAACTTATTTTAAAAGATTTTATTTTAAACTTATTTTAAAAGATTTTATTAAAACAAAATAAAACATAAAAAACAGAAGCTGTAGGCGAAAGAGAGAATCTATCTGGTTCTAAATATTAACCTATAAAAGCTCAGCCCTAACTGGTCTTTCCAACCCTATAAACAATCTGGGCCTCAGCTAAAAAGGCAGGGATTTTTAACTCAAAAAAATTTTGTATGTAAAACTTAAAAATAGTTGTTATGATTATTATTATTATTATTATAGTATTATATAATTACTATAATATTATTATAGGGATTATTACTATTATTATAGTAATAATATATATTACTGCTGCAGAGCTAAACAACAGACCAGATATAAAACAAAGACAACAACATTAAATATACCAAAAAACTATACATATATATATATATATATATATATGTGTGTGTGTATATATATATATATATGTGTGTGTGTATATATATATATATATATATATATATATATATATATATATATATATATATATATATATATATATATATATATATATATATATATATATATATATATATATATATGTATATATATATATATATATATATATATATATATATATATATATATATATATATATATATATATATATATATATATATATATATATATATATATATATATATATATATATATATATATATATTGATTTGGTTGAATTCTTATTTTATAGTTTCCTATTTTAGTTTTATAGTTTCTTATTTCAACTTTATAATTTTTTTAATTTAATTTCTAGTTTCTTATTTTATAGGCCTTCTTATTTTAAAACTTTTAAAGTTATTACAACGGGCAAAAGTGTGATATAAGTGTAAGAAAATAAACAGTAAAAAAAAAATTATTAAAAATATATTACAAAAATATATTAAATTTAATGCATATTATTTATTTAGCTTGTTTGCTTTAATGTTGTGTGTTGTACAATGTATTAAATATAAATCCATTAATTATTCAAGTGCACTGGGTGATTTTTTTTGTCCTGTACTTTGTGTTGCACTTTTATTGTACTACAACTGTTTTTTAACATTTTAGTTAAAGATTAAATATTTTATTTATTACAATACTGTGTAGTAATACACTGAGAATAGTAAAGTTCATTGTTTAATACTATATACTACAAATATATTCAAGAAATTCAATAACACACATGCATTTTAATTAAAAAACTACTGAGGAATTTAGATTACTATGAATTAAAGGAAATACAATAAATCGTATTTTTTATAAAATAATAATTCTCTTTTTTGTACTTTTACTTGTTTTGAGAAAAAAAATTTCTACAGCAATTGCAAACAGATTATTTAAAAATGAACTTTTATAATGTTTTCATAAAAAGCCTAAACATATATACAAATTCAAAGAAATCTGACTATATATGGATATTTAAAATAAACCAGACTACATACAATGCAGACTTTCACATAGAAAATGGCCATAAAATTTATATCCAGGTTTACACTCTATAAACACTTAAATAGACCCAGACCATATTTATTTATAAAAAGCAAAGCAAAACTTTTTTTTAAATTAAACTTCACCTGCTGCTGAGTAAAAAATATCTCATTTTTCATTGATTCATCAGGAACACAAGGTGACATTAAACTATGGACATAAGACATATCTTTTGCAGCTTTATAATCCTGTACAATAAATTAAAATTCATTTAGAGTATTCATAGAACAAGTTCAGTGAATTTACAAAAATTTAATATAAATAAAAAACATAAAAACTTATCATTTCGAAAAAACGAAATTAGTGAACTACTTTAAATATAGTTCATAACCTTTTGTTCATCTACTAGAAACCTCTGAAAGTCATATGCTGTCATAAACAAACTAAAAAAAGAAAACTTTTTTTTATATAAATACATTACAATATATTTTTAATATTAATCTATTTATAATTTATTTTTATAACCTTATAAAACCAAATGAAAGAGTTAACTAACCAAAACAAACATAACATACAATTCAAAAACATGAAATTCCATTAAAAATTAATATAGTAACTACAACTGACCCTTCATCACTTCGATGTAAGTACTCTTCGTAACGATCTGCTATCTAAACAATAATTTAGTTGAAATTTTTAACTTGAAAATGTATGAGTTTTTTTCTTTTGTTTATATTTAACAATAGAAAAATATTAATTGTAAAAGACAACTAATACACTCAAAGGACAACCGAGTTTAGAAACTATATTACACCTTTTCAAGATGTAATTGAGAACATGAAAGTTGTAGCTAAGAAATACATGTTAATTTACATGTTGTGTTTCTTAATTACACTATATGCAATTAAGAAACACAACATGTAAATAAGAAATCGTAAAATGTAATTGAGAAACAACATGTAAATAAGAAATTTCGATATGTAATTAAGAATACATAAATTGTAATGAGGAAATCATAATATCATAATATTTAAATGAGGATTCATAATTTGTAATTGCAAATTCACAATGTAAGCTTATAGGTCATTATAAAAGGTCTTTCGGAACATGAATTTGAATAACTTAATAAGCATTTGTATGCCTTCGCAATAATAATGGAATTGAAAGTTCGTTGTGTTAATTGCAATACATTATGATCCAAAAGTCTGTTAAACGTGACAGCATTTTACCAAATTCACTGACTTCTAGAACAACGATAAACTCCAATTTGCCAGCATCAAATACATACATCACTTACACCCTCTTCTTCTTCATCCTCAATATTCTTCTAGAACAACAATAAACTCCAATTTGCCAGCATCAACATACAACTGAACAAGTTGAAAGAAAACACTTTTATTTTCACTGAATAAAGAAGAGTAGTTGAATGTGTTGAGCGAAATGACGATTGGGTGAAACTGACAAAAACTTTGTGTCTATAAGACAGCTTACAATTGGAAATTAAAACTTTATTGGAAGAGGTGGTTTTAAACCAAAAAAATTTATTAAGGGTCTTATTGAAGAAATGCTAACATACATTAATAGTGACTGTCAACTGATATTGGTGGCCATCAAAACATTAACATTTAGACAATTTAATATTAGCATCAGCACAACAACAATCGCTAATTACCTCAAAGGAAGATTGTTTATATTTTAAAAAGTGTACAAAGAGCCTTCTACAATAAACAGAATGTAAACAAACAAAAAATAACTGAATATGTTAGAAACATCAATGAACATATCACAAATGGTTATCAGATAGTTTGGTTTGATTCTATAAATTCTTTCATGTTTTAAATTACATCTAACATTTCTTAATTACAACTTTCAAGTTCTAAACTACAGCTAACGTTTCTTAATTACAACTTTCAAGTTTTTAATTACAACTTTAAAGTTCTCAATTACATCTTGAAAAGATTTAGATACTCTACAACAAGTATAAAGAATTTTATTAAACTTGTTTGTCTCAATATTCATTAAAAAATATTAAAGAAATACTTTATTCACAAGTTAGTTGGTGGTTTTGTTTTTGATATTTTTGACCATCTTATTTTTCTTAGCTGGTTATGCTTCGTTCAATTTGTTTTTAACTCCCACAGCAAAACAAATGAGAGTAAGCGTAATGCTTTGTTCTCCTGTTTTGTTTCTTTAAGCTTAAAAAAACTAAATTTATGCAAAAATTATGGCTAAACCATTAAATTCTTTAAAAGGAATTGAAATTATGTATCAGGAATAATTACAAACAAGAACGTTATGGTGAGTAACTTGCACACAAATTATAAAAAATTATAGACTGCTTTGCGTACTAATACCAAGGAAATCAAAATAATAAAAAGACTTTAAGAAAGGTTATTTCAATAAAAAATTGCCGAATTTATTTTCAAGGGCTGATACATACATGTGTATATATATATATATATATATATATATATATATATATATATATATATATATATATATATATATATATATATATATATATATATATATATATAATATATATATATATATATATATATATATATAAATATATATATATTTATATACATATATATATAAATATATATATATATATATATTTATATATATATATATATATATATATATATATATATATATATATATATATATATATATATATATATATATATATATATATATATATATATATATATATATATATATATATAGATAGATAGATAGATAGATAGATAGATAGATAGATAGATAAATAGATATAGATAGATAGAAAGATAGATATATAAAGATAGATAGATAGATATATTAGGGTGGTGCTTAAAACAACTTTTTTTTCTAATATCTGCTCTCACCCTCTAAATGTGTTGTATATAATAAAATAGTACTAAAATGAAAAAATTTTCAAAAAATAAATATTTTAAGGGGTGCCCCAAGGCCCTTGAAAACTCAACTGATCCTTATAATTATCGAAAAAGTAGTTTTTCAAAAGTATATCATGTTGGGTCTCAAAAGAAGCAAAATTATATAAAAATTTTAAAAATAATCATAATTTTATAAAAAAAATTTATACACATATATATATATATATATTTATATATATATATATATATATATATATATATATATATATATATATATATAGTCTTGCATGGTAGTCACAAAGTTTTTCCTATAAACTGTTGTTTTAAAGAGCGCGTTAATAAGCCTGACCAGAAAATGTTGAAAAACTTCAAAAAAAACATTTTTTTTTAAATGATAGACTGCTTGCCCAAACAATATGACTATCTTAAACCTGACTATCTTATAGTCAGGCTATAAGATAGTCGATGTAGCAACACTCCCATGTAGCAGCAGGCTATAAAATAGTCGATGTAGCAACACTTACGCTTGTTTTAAAAATGCTTTTTAATAAAACAAAAACAAAAACACAACTAATTAAAAAAACTTTCTAGTCATTATTATTGCAGTTTTTTTAAAAAACAATAAAATTTAATGTACTTCCGCATTAATTTAATTGCTTTGACATTTCGACGACGATAAAATGCAGCTTAAGAAACAAGGTAAAAAAATTGTAGTCAAAAGAGACTTTTTTACCATAAAAGTCTCTTTTGACTACACTATAAGGATATATATATAATATATCCTTATAGTGTAGTCAAAAGAGACTTTTTTACCATAAAAGTCTCTTTTGACTACACTATAAGGATATATATATATATATATATATATATATATATATATATATATATATATATATATATATATGTATATATATGTATATATATATATATATATATATATATATATATATATGTATATATATATATATATGTATATATATATATATATGTATATATATATATATATATATATATATATATATATATATATATATATATATATATATATATATATATATATATATATATATATATATCGAGCCTTCCCAGGAAAGGCGTGCGGTTTTTTGTTACGTATGACCACACGCGATTATAATATTTTAGAAAACGTGAACACGACCGTTTGCAAGTTTTATAATAATGATGAAAAAGTTTTAAAAACAAAAAAACAAAACTAACAAAACAAAAAGAGATTGAAATAGAAAAAAATAAAAACAAATTAATAATTTAAATAATTTGTGTACTGTTTTTACTTTTGTTTATTTAGAGTTACATTCATTAAATATTCATTAAATAATTTAGAGAAACGATTGTTGTTAACTTGAGAAACATTCAGAAACAAAATTAAATAAGGCGAAGCAAAAAAAAAAACGCAAAAAAAGCAACAAAAAAAAACGGTTTGAAATCTACAATAAAAAGAATAATTTTCCTTTTCTTAATTTTTTTTTAAGAGGATAGCAAAAATTTAATAACTGGTTTTTAAATTACAAAAACCAGTTTTCAATTTTTAACATTTTTATAGTATATTTTTGTTATGCAATAACATTTTGTTAAGTTATTTTAGTTAGCTGTTTTCTTTGTTTTTTTAATGTGCAGCTTTAATTTTTTTCCTGTGGTAGATGGAGATTTCGATTTCATTTTTTCAAAATGTTACGTAATAATTACACAACAAAAACAGTTGCTTGTCTAAAAATATGATGATGGAAACATAAAGTTTTAAGCAAACAAATTCTTCTCGAATAGTTTTGATTTAATATTCATTTACATGTATTCATAAAATGTATTTATATGTAAGATTATATTATGTTAATGTATTTATAAATATAACAATTATGTTTATGTATTAAATTATGGATTAGCATCTCTTTTACTGAATTTGCAAAATCCTGAACACGTTTCCGGTCCAGCAAAAATATCTAGTTTATTTCTTATAGCTTTAAAAATCGACATTATTAAATTGTCTGAAAAGTCCAAAATTTTATTGTGAACACTGATCCAGATTAAGGAAAAATCGAAAAAGCTACCTTGCTCATCAGAGAAACTTTTTAAAAACAATTTTTTAAGAATCATGGAAAATTTCTTAAAGAGCCTGCAGAAAACCTCATCAAAATAAAAATAAAATATATATATATATATATATATATATATATATATATATATATATATATATATATATATATATCAGGGTTCAATTTCCTGGGCAAAATGTCTGATCAAAACTTGTTTAGGTCTTACACTGCTTGATCAAACTTTTAAAATATAACTTTTACAGTTTTACAGAACCAAGTTATGCAATCAAAACCTTTGTCATGTTATTCAGTTTATTCAATGTTAATCTAGTGAAGTTGTAGTTTCTTTCCTTATTATTTAGTACACAGAATTTTGATTTTTAATAAAATAGTTTCAATTTAATATTGTATGTTTTTTCAGATAGACTTAAATTTTGACGTTGTAACTGATAACACTGTTTTTTTTCTTTACAATTTACAATTGCTGTTTTGATGTTTTAACAATTTAAATGCAATAAAAAAAATCGTTACTTTACAAATAACTTTTAATTTTTGATCTTTTTTAAAGTATTTATTTTACGAGAAGGCTTTAAATAAAATCAAAAGTTAACTACAATGATCGTTTAAAATAAATGTATAACCTTTTTAATGTCTTTCAAAATTTTTTTAAGTTCTTTAAATTATAAATTAAATCTTCCCATGATTTATTTGTTTTATTAATTTGATTTTATTTTTTTAATTTTTTTTTTTTTTTTTACATTTTTACAAAGAATTTGTAAAAATTGACTTACTAATTGATTTTTTTAAAAACATTTTGAAAAAAATGTTTATACAACTGAAAAATATTATTATTTTTTTTTTCAATAATTTGATTTCACTTTTCAAAAATTTCAATAAAATTCGTTCATTTATTAAACAATCAATAGAAGTAATTGTAAATAGAAGTAATTTGTGTATATATATATATATATATATATATATATATATATATATATATATATATATATATATATATATATATATATATATAAAATATATATATAAAATATATATATATATATATATTTATATATATTATATATATATATATATATATATATATATATATATATATATATATATAATATATATATAAAATATATATATATATATTTAAATATATATATATATATATATATATATATATATATATATATATATATATATATATATATATATATATATATATACATATAAATTGTTTAATAAAAGTATATAAATTTTACTTACTGAAGATTGAAATATAAGACTTTCATATGCTTCACATAGAGCAGTTGCGTTAAATACATTAGCTTTACCAGAATGACACTGTAAGCAATTAAAATATTGTACTAAATATTTTCACTTTTTTATTATATTAGTATATATAGTTTTCCTTTTTTTTTTCTCCTAATTTTTTGTCTAATAGCTAAAACATATCTTCTAAAATAAAGAACCAAAAACAAAATACCTGATATATGTCCTTAACTTTATTATTAGGTAATTTTATATTTGCTCGCTGAAGAAACAACTTAAATTCTTTCATTGGCATTCTAATAACCAATCATATTTATTAAATACTTTTGAACAAATGGCTCATATCATATTTAAAACATATGAACAATAATAATAAAAATGATCAGTCACATAACAATTTAAAAATCAATTTTCAGTAATCCATTTGCAGGGGCTATTCTAGACCATTTTCGATAGCGTTGACGTATTTGGGTGCCACCCAAATCAAAATTTAAGGCCCTTTTTTTTTTTACATTTTTTACAGCAAATTAAGTTTGTTTTTTTGCTAAAAAATACTGACTTTCCACTAAATTTCTCCGGGACGGGGGCTACCACTGCCCGAATTTTTTTCCTAGAATAGGCCCTGATTTGTAATAAAGTGTTTAAAAAAATTAATAAAACCATAAAAAATTATTTTAAAAAAATCTTAAATTCAACAAAACCATAATAAAACCATAAATAATTATTTTAAAAATATATCAAATTCAACACTTTTGCAACTTTTGTTTCTGTACGATGTAACTTACTTGGGTTGACAGTTTTTAGGAAGTAAAGCCCATTCTCTGCATAGCCACCTAAATAAAATTTTTTATTTAAACATAAGAAAACTTTTAAACGATGTAAAAAAATGTAACATAAAAAACTCACTTGATAAATAAGTTGAGGTAATTTGCAATAAAAAAAAAGATGAAAATAATATTGTTGAAGTTATAAAACATCCTACCTATACAGTGGTCCACAACTGTATAATTCATACAAAAAAAATTAGAAAAGCATAAAAACTTTGTAGAGTTATTAAAAAACTTTTTTTTTAAGATATCAAAATGTTTGCAAACATTATTATGTAAATGTTTATAACTCTAAGCGTACAAAAAAACATTTTGAATTATAACTTTTAACAAAAGATTAAAGATTATTTATGTGATAATATTTATTTTGTCAAATAATATTAAATTTAGGCATAAGAATAAAAATTTGGTATAAAATCAAATAGGGTGTAAATTTTAGTATAAAATCGAATAGGGTGCATTATACTTTAAAAATTTTTGAAGTTTAAATGAATACAATTATCTACTAAGATGTTCTCATCTTTGTAGATAATTGTATCTATTTAAACTTCAAAAATTTTAATTTTAAAAAGTATAATGCACTGGACACTCTATTCGATTTTATACTAAAATTGTTTTGGTACAAAAGAACTCATCACAAAGTAATGTCAATATTTTTTTGGCAATCACAATACACCTAGCATTTGAAAATTTTTGCTTTTTTAAATATATCTAAAATTTTGAGTAAATTGAGATATTCTGCTTTAAGTGTGCTAACTCTCATATTTTCTACATTGTTCTATTGTTACATTGTTCTATTGTTATATTTTTCTATTGTTACATTGTTCTATTGTTACATTGTTCTATTGTTATATTGTTCTATTGTTACATTGTTCTATTGTTACATTGTTCTATTGTTACATTGTTCTATTGTTACATTGTTCTATTGTTCTATTGTTACATTGTTCTATTGTTACATTGTTTTATTGTTACATTGTTCAAATGATCAACTCTCTAGAGCAATTTTGTTTTCTTTTTATGCGAATGTTCACTTAAAAGAATTTATTTTTATATAATTTAAAGTTTAAATATAGGAGTAATAACTTTTGATAACATTATTATTGATAATATTATTAAAAACTATTATTTCTTAGGAAACTAAGAAATTCCCAGTTAAAAATTGACTAGAATGAATTTACCTTTAAATTGTTTGTTTCTATTTTTATTTGTGTTGAGTCTTTATTTTTTTCATTTGATTTTTAGTTTGTGATTTAAATGGTAAACATCTGACTTATTTTGAAAACATTTTGAATTTTAAACATTTAATGAGTTGGCAGTTATGGGTTCATACTAATATATGTTTTCAAATTATGAAATTTACACATGTTTATAAGTTATACATGATTTTTGCATGATATTATTTATTTCTGCACTTAGAAGAAATATTTTAGTGGGAGACCTCTCAAGGCTACTAGCTAACATTGTTCTTTAACAGTGAACAAAAACCATTTTAAACCTCCAATGTTTGTTAAAAAAAAAAATCTGATGAAAAAAATTTAACTACCCTGGAACACAATCAGAGATATAGAACATGGAAAATTTTCACAAGTAACTTCTTGAGAATCCACTATTTCTAAAACACAAGTATCTTCTTTTCATATGTTGAAAATGTGAAATTATCTTATGTAGCAAGTTTTGTTTAATAGCTATTTTTAAGTCAATCAAGTGCATATTCAAAGTATCAGCCAGTTAAGTGTGTATTTAAAGTATCATAGGATTCCTAACATTGAATTTATTTCATTGTCCAAGAAAAATAAAAACCTATTAAAGTACCCAAGACCACCAGACAGATTTTATTAAAGGAGATAAAAATGAAGAGAAAGGGTAAAAAAGAAATTAAAAAATAAAAAAAAGTCCTACTTAACAGAGTTAATGAAAGCAAGAAGAGCAAATGAAACAATAAAAGTAAAATATGTAGTCTGAAAAAACAGCAATTGAAAAAGATTAGAGATTTTTTTATTGACGGAAAAAAGAAAAAAACTTTAGTGGTTAAACAAAACACTCAAAAAACAAATAAATTGATCACATACTAACTATAAAAAAGGGCATATTCTTGTTCGAATGATGAAAGATTTCTTACTTAAACACCACACCCCAAAGCCAACCAGCCAAAAAAGCCACATAAAATCTTTACAAAAGAATGTTTCCGATAGCAATCCACAACTCATTTAAAATTATTGGAAGAGATTCTGCAAACTCAATAAAAGATTGAGGAAAAAATGGAAATTTGCTATCAAATTTAGAACAATTACAGGAAGAAATTCTTCTGGTCTATTTTTATGCTGGATTGTAATTTTTTATTGAATTAGCAGTAAGGCATATAATTACTGATTCAACTAGTTCAATAAAGTTTAATCAACTAATCAGGTATGTGGCATTTAATCAGGTTTAATCAACTATTCTACTTAAGTAGAATAGTTGATTAATATCTGACTACTTAAGTAAAAACCTATATGCAACAGGTTTTTACTTAAGTAGTCAGAGTAGTAAATAATTTATAGAAGATAAAATATATTTTAAATAAAACATAAAAGATAACTTAGATTATTAAATCTCTGCAAATTGATTTTATTATAATTTTATTATATGGAACACAATTAGAGGGCGAGAGGAGATTATTGTTTTTTCAATGAAGACACATTAATGATGACACATTTTAAAGGCGATAGGAGAAGAGAATTTTGTTTTTCAATGATAATTTGCTAACACATTCCACAACAATAATAGGGTGTCCATATTTTAATTAGGGAGATTATTTTTATGGTGCTGCTATATGTGCTATATGTGCTATATATTAACTTACAAAATAAAAATTGAAAAAAGATATTTTACCTATGCTAGATTGCACTTTTATACAAGGTCAAACTAGTTTATCATTTTTTTTAGACAAACAAAAGAATAGTATTTAGCTGATAACAGAAATTTACAAACACAGTTGAACACAGAATTATACAGGTTAAGATTTAATAATAAAGTTACACATCAAGGAGGAATCAAAAAGTACGTAAAAAAAATTTTAGAACTAAAAAGATTATTCACAAAAAAATTTATCTTATCTTACTTAGTAAAATAAGTAATACTAGAATGTTTTATAAAAAAAACTACATTAATATTGCTTAATTTAATAACAAACATTTTTTTAAATATTTACCTGTGACTAAGTATCGGAGGGGGTGCATGCTGATTAACCCATTTTAAATAAACTATTGCTTTTACCCAATATTCTCTTTCACTGGGATTTTGTGCTAAATAAATTCAATAAATACAATACAAATATTGAAATTATGTTTCATATTAATTTATATATATATATATATATAAATATATATATAAATATATATATATATATATATATATATATATATATATATATATATATTATATATATATATTAGGGTAGGTTGATTTTAGCTTCTTTTTTTTTTGAATTTTGAGTTGCGTAATGTTGCAGTTACTGTGTCTAGGTTAGAAATGAGGTTTTACCAAAATCTCAAGTATCCTGGTTTAAAAATAGCTTGTGGTTTTGCATTTTAAGTCTTAATTTTGGACTAGTTTTCTTAGATTGTTTATTTCAAACATTGCAAAATTTTATTTTAAGTCTAGTAATCTCGTTTTAAAATATCTTGTTTTGAGTTTATAAAGTAACCAATAAACAAGCGCAATTGTTTAAAGAAGCCAATAAAGTTTCGCTAAAAAGTTTAAATGCGTTTACTCGCATTTAAACTTAGCTAATCTTTTTTGTATTTAAATTTCTTGTTTGTATTTTAAAGTTAGTTTTAAAGTTAAATTTATTTAAAAGTAGGTTCAAAAATAAAACTGCAATTTAAAGAAATCTTTTAATATCAAAGGTAAATACTTATGATTATTATATCTAGAGTAATGTTTTAAACTGTTTATATTACATAAGTTTTGATTTGCAATTTCTGAAGTAGATTAAAATATAAAACTTATCGATGGAACTAATGGTTTTACTCAATTCCTGAGTTTCCTGAATTTATGGCCCCCAAATCTTTTCAAAAGAGTTTTATTTCTTTATTTTTTATCAAAGCAGGTTTTTAATAGTAAGTTTTGATATTTTAGGTTTTTTTGATGCTCTGGCCCCCACTAAAAACTCACGCCGTTGCCCATTACTCTAAGTGTAATACTTTAATACAGTTTACATATATAATTAATCTACAAAAATGCCAAAAGTAAAGGTTGCAATTACACGGATGAAAAGTGAAAAAAAATATTGTGGCGGCCCATGTGAACTATCAACGACAGATCCAAGCACTTTTAGACAGGTTATTCAGTATTATTGCTATCTTATTCATATAAATCCAAATGCAGATATCGTATTAGTGACTCAGCAAATTAGCAATAATATAAAATCAATTTGGGCTACAGTAAACCCAAGATTACCTCTTATAACTGACAAATCTATTAATAGGAAAGTTAAAGATCTTCTCGTACTTGTTAAGGATATTAATCGCAAGCACGGAAAAGCAAGCGCTAAAAGAAATCTTGATGCAAACTTGGATAAACTTTTTGATATTTCTGCGTGTTCCTGTTCATTAGATGTGTTTCCCTGTAGTGACAGAAAAGTTTCATGTAATAAAGAAAATTGCATCGAAGAACATATTGTATGCCTTTGTTCTCAAAATAATAAAGTACCTCTGGAAGACAGAGCTTATCTTCGTGATTAGAGGAAAAAAATTGGTCCAAAAGGTGCATACCAACTTTCTTCCGTCGATAGATTATCTGTCAAAAGGATTCAAAGACTTGATAAAGAATGACAAAAAATATCTCATAAGCTAGTTAATGAAGATAAATCCCTCATAGCACAAGTAAACTTAATTGAAGAAACAAGTGGTTTGACCAATACGGAGGTAAATATTTTATAAATACATGAAATATTTGTAACAGATGAAACAGAAAGCGTTTTATTTTATTAACTCTTTTTAGGATGAAGGTGAATGGAAACCACTAAATAATCGTATTGGAGAATACAACTTAGTTAAACTTCCAAGATTTGCAATGAAATTAGTCAGAAATGAGTGTTCGTCAAACGTAGGTGCAGCCCTTGCAAATGCTTTACTACATGACATAAAACATCTCTTGAAAAATGACGTTGATATTAAAGATATTTTGATTGACAAATGCAAGTTAGATAGGGCCAAGTCAAAAGGAAAAATCGTTAGTGAAGAGGTGGACTCAGAACAAAAAAAAACAGTTAATTTGTCTTGGGGTTGACAGCAAGCTCGATCAAATAACTAAAACAAGTATAATAATAAACTTACCTCAAGGAGAAGTACTAAAGAAATGCATTGAACCTGAACATCACCTCACATTTACTTATGAAGATGGAAAATCGAGTGGAAATTATTTGACTCATAGGACAACTCCTGTCACGGGTGCTACAGGTTTAGTTTTTGCTACCAAAACGTTTAGTGTTTTACAAGAACATAACAGTTTGGAAAGTATACAAGCTGTTCTTCTTGATAATACTGCTACTAATACTGGACCAATAAGTGGCTTAGTGGTAAAACTAGAAGAGTTTTTAAAAAGAAAACTACATCTAATTGGATGCCCATTATATCAAAATGAACTTTCGTTGTGAGCTCTTTTTGTAAAACTTGATGGTGATACAACTGGGCCAAGAAGCTTTAGTGGTCTACTTGGCAAAAGATGTGCTGAAAATATTCAGGATAGAAATCAAGTTTTGTTTAATCATATTGAAAACCCAATTGTAGATGGATATATTCCAGAAGAAATACTAGTAGACTTTAGCTGCGATCAAAGACTTTTATTTGAATATTGCAAAGGAATAGGCTTTGGTAAAGTTTCTGATAAATGGGCTGCCTATAAAATTGGACCGCTTAACCACGCAAGGTGGTTAACTCTAGCTATTCGCCTTCTCTGTTTGTATACTAGAGACAATCAACCAACTGTTTCTTTAAATAAAACTTGTATGTTTTATTGTTCAGGTTTACGCTCCAGCGTGATTCGATATAAAAAAATCTTCAAAATTTCACGAATCCCCGCGCCTTATTTTTTCTACTATCACTAGAATGAATAATCTCCCCTTTGATGATGTTAAACATATTGTTAAAAAAAACATTAAAAACAATGCATTGTGCCTAAAACCTGAAAATATTCTTTATGCCATGTTAAAAGATAATGACAGTAAGATACAAAACTTTGGTTTTCAAATCCTACTGGGTCTAAGGCAAATGTATTTTTTTATAGTAAACTAAAATAAAATTTTGAAAAAAAAAATTATACATTAAATGTGGTAATTGGATTTGATTTATATTTATAGAGTGAACAACGAAAGTTTGGAAGTAAATTTTAAAAAAATTCCAGAAATTAATTTTAATGCTAATCATTGGTATGAGTTGGTAGATATCAGCATTACTAAATTTACGGAGCTCCCAACAACACAACATTTTTCAATTGAGCAAATCCAATATGCGAATGACATTAATGTTAAACCTAAAATCCCCGACTTTCCATCTCACTCCCAGAGTGTTGAGCGAGCGGTAAAACTTGTGTCGGACGCATCCCAATATGTTTATGGATTCGAGAATCAACACAGCTGCATTTTAACTAAACTACTTAGCAGGAAGATGCGTAAACCATATATTTCAAAAGGGCATTATTCCCATTCTTATGATGATATTTTTTAATTGAAAATGTTTTCCTAAAATATATATATCCATAGCCAAAATGTTTTAAATTGTGAAAATAATGTTTATTTTGATATTCTTATGTAAATATAAGAATAAAAGTTTCACTATTTAAATCTTCAAAAATTAACAAGTTGTTATAAACTTAGCTTAATTGTTATAAACTATTAAAAACTTAAATCATACACCAAAGCAAATAGTATTGAAAAACATTTAAATATGAACATAGTTGAAACGTCAAGTTTTGCATATAACGCTTTTTAAGGTGTTTTTTTACATAATCCAACAAATCTTAAAAATTAATTCCTCAAGGGATTCTTCATCCAAAATTTCTCAAATTTTGAGAGTATTCATATTTTAACTGTCTACAACTACTGTAATATTATGCAATATGCGCAAATTAAAATCTATATATATATATATATATATATATATATATATATATATATATATATATATATATATATATATATACATATATATATATATATATATATATATATATATATATATATATATATATATATATATATATATTTATATATATATCAAAATTTTGGGTTCAATTCCTTTTTTTTTAACTCTAAGTAATTTACTTAAAAAATTCTCCTTCTATTCAAAACTATGCTGACATTAATTGAAAGCATTTATTAAGATATTTATAAAAATACTTACACACCAATCTGTAAACATAGAGTATATAAAAATTAGGTATATTTTGGCGCATTTTTTCAATATTTCTTTTTAATGAAATCTTTTCGAGTGTATTAACTTTAACTATTCTTAAAGTTCATTATAGAGACTAAAGTTCATTAAAGAGACATTAAAGAAAAAAAATTAATACTATTTATTATAAAAAATGCATACTTATAATTTATATAATATAAATTAGAAAATTATATAGAACTTTCATTGATACTTTAGAAAAAATAATTATCAGTAATTTATTACTTAATCTAAAAGTGTTACGCTAATATAAAAACATTAGTTAGGATAAAAGTTTTGATGTTGCTTATTTCTAAAAAAAAATTATATTCAGCTCGTTTTTAATATGCGGTCAATTCATCAAAATAAAATAATATTTGCATGGTCATATAATGGCATGCAATCAAATGCCTTTCTGACCAAGACTGAATATATTGCAGCTAGTAAAACATTATTTTCTAGGAGCGTTTTTTTTTTTCTGACTTTGCATTGATATTTTAATAAAATCTGCAATGATGCTGTCATTTTAAAATTTTATTCTTAAAAAAACAGTTAGGTGTTAATCATACTGCTTGCAAATTTTTAGTTACTAGACATGGCTGACAAAGTATTACTTCTAGTTTTTTTATTTTCCTCCATAGCTATTTATAACTAGAATATTAAGATAAAGGAGCTGGAGCCAACATAAATTTTATGACTCTGGATCCAGCTCCTGAAAAAATGATCAGTCTAGCTCTGGCTTCACCTATGCTCCAGGTAAAATGCCTGGTTTCTTTGCTCCTTGACTCTAGCGCTAGCTCTCCAGCCCTGCTTAAAAGTGTGCAATTAATTTATAGTAAGAGAAATAAAAGGAATATAAATTTAAAAAAAAAAACAAGTAAGCAATATTTATAGAGACAATTATCAATTGAAATCCAAATAAATATACCAGTCAGTTTATATATAATAGTCATATTAAATATAATAGTCATATTAAGTAAAGTTTTTGGCTCTGAACTAATAGATTCAATAGTTGGGTTAAATAGTTTTTTAAATGTATAAAAACAAGATAAATAATGTAGAGATTTAAAAATACCTTCCATTGTGAAATAGTTAAATATTAAATTTTGAATTTTTAGTAATTTCTTATTCCTACTCCTAAAAACGGTTTTTAGGAGTATTATTTTATTAAAGGTTTTTAAAAAACCATAAATAATTTAATCATTTGATTGAAATAGTGGTTATAATTAGGATTTACAATAATTAATGTTAATAGATTTAGTAGACATATTAATAATAAGATAAAAAAAATGATAAAAACAGGTTGGAAATTGTTAATTTAATAACTAACCTAGTAACGATAATGTTTTTAATCGAAAGTTTGAACCATATACAATTATCACGCAAGAATTAGGATCATCAATTCTTCGAATAAAGCTTAAAAAATCTTTTGAGTTGCATCCTCTGCGAACTTCTTTTATTTCTTCAATATTAACTGTAAAACAAATTATACAATTTAAAAAAACATTATTTCTTCAAACAAAGTCTAATGTATATAATAAAGGATAAATAAAAAAACAACTTTTTCCTTCCTCTCTGCTTGTACCAGCTCGAAACCAAGAAATCTTGAATTCTTCTAAGTTTAATTGCACAATTTTTTGATCTGCGCGTGTTTTCTTAATCCTAGTCATTGAGGTTCCAAGCTTTAATGCGGAAATAATTGGAGCAAGTTCAGCTTCATCGGGAATTTTAATAGAAACATTATCGACATCAGTTTCATGAGCTGAAATGCTAACAGGTCTTGGCAATGTTTGTCCACTTGAAACGCTCATTTTAATTTAAAAAATTTGTACTATCATATTACTAAAATATAAAAGTTACATTTATAAAAATAGAAATTGACTAGGGCTTTAACATATATCAACTAATGAGTTAAATGTGCAGGCAGGTAGTAGGAAAACTAATGGGTTAAAGGTCTGGGTAGGTTGTTCATGCTAACTGGAAAGAGCTTTTTTTCGAAATGACATTTAAAACGTACACAATTATTTAAATTGCAAACTTACATATATACATACATATATATACAAAATCTGTAGTTACATATATACATACATATATATATACAAAAACTGTAGTTAAAATTTAAAACGTTCTTAAAACTAAATAACTATATGTTATGTAAAGATTAAACTAACATTATAAAGGTTAGAAATCTTTTTGTCTAAAATAAATTTAAAGTTCAAAAAATGAAGAAAATTACATTTTTCAAGCAAAAATCGCTCTGTCTCCTCAACTGCAGTGGCCCTCTTAGCCTTGAGGAGGCTAATAAAACTAAAAAAAAAAAGTAAATAAACTTACAAAAGATACTATTTACCTCCTTAACATATTTTTTTATTTCTGAAAATAAAATTTGGAAGAATCAGGAAAAGTTTTGCTCAGGTTTGCTTATCATTTGCTTACCAAAATTATTGCTTTTGAAAAAATGTGTATAGAAAAGTTCTGAAAAGGTTTTGGCTGCTTTTGTTTGCATCTGTAACTTGAGTCAATATAAACGTGATGTATTCCAACTAAAAGGGCTGCTCCCCCTCTCATGTTTTATGTTTATAAACATTAAAAGTAAAAAATAATTAGAAAAAACCAAATATTTAAAAATAATTAATAACAAGTAAAATTAATTAATCTCACAATATTTCATACATTCAATGATGGAAACACGGCAAAAAGGGCATTTAGAATCCACAAAATCTTTGCTGAAATATTTAGAGTTGAAAAAGGTCTTGGAGTTGAAAAAATTTTAAATTAACTTTTTATGTTGTTTTATAAGCGCCCAAATGACTCAGATAAACATAAAACTTGATATTTCAAAGTTATGTTTAAGTATGTAACCCATTCACACCAGATAGTAAAAAATAAGCTGATATGAACAAATTGCCATCTGGAGAAGCTCAGAAAAGAAACGAAGTTATGAACTTTGCGAACAATTTATAGGAAAATTTATTCAAATTTAATTTTGTTAATTAGAAGTCACATGTATTCCTGAAATAAGTTTTAACATATCAGGTCAAGTAAATACAAAGATACAAATCCAAAATACATGTCACATGCCCTTTGTGTGCTATTCTAAAAGATGTTTATGCTTTACATTAAGCTTTATAAATGTACAATGCACTCTATAGTTTATTAAAAAACTGTTATGCAACATGTGTGATATGTTAAACATTATACTTTGCGTTCTACTTGGTGTGGTATTTTATGTTTATGCCATCTACCACAATACCATAAATTTACCATATGTCCTCCAGTTTATCAGAAGCTTAAGAATCTCTAAAAAATAATTCAGCTGAACAAATAAAAAATAAGTTAAATAATGTTAAAAGTAAGTTTTATTTACTAGTCCTTGATTTTTCTTGGATTGAATAATTTTTAGTCAATTTTATTATACCTCTATCAGAGGCATAATAAAGGACATTACAATAATAACTACGATATGCCAGGGTCTTGCAAATTTTCACCAAAAATTTTAAAGTGTTAACTTCAATACTCTTTAATTTTTACAGGTTTCATTTAATTCTTAGAAAAAAAATTAAAAAACCAGAATAAAATATCTTTTATATATATTAAAAAAATAAAAATTAATTATACATACTATTATTAAAGGCATCAACAATGTTGCTACATTATGTTGAAAATATATTTTTACAATTACAATGTATTTTCAAATATTAATAATTAGAAATAAAGTAATTTAATAGTATATATATATACTATTATATACATATATATATATATATATATATATATATATATATATATATATATATATATATATATATATATATATATATATATATATATATATATATATATATATATATATATATATATATATATATATATATATATATATATATATATATATGTTGATAACAATAAAGTAATAAAAAATTACAATAATAATAATTACTTTTTCTATTTTTTTATTTTTTACTTTTATGTTCTATTGTTTTTATTTTTTATGTTTTTTTTTATGTTTTTTTTTTATGTTCTATTGTTGTTTAATAACAAAAGAATATAAATACATTTCTATGATAAATAACAATATTTTTATAATCTTTCTTCAAGCAAAAACATGTAATAATTCTTGCTTATTCCTTTATAAACATGCAAAAATGAAAAATATGCAAATAAAGATGGATTATTTGTACATCATACTTTTCGTATAAATATCATGTTATATTTCCGCGACTTACAATAACATTAAAACGCGTCGAAACTAGTTTTACACAACTTTTGGTTGATGAACAAGCATCTGTTTTAAGCGATGAGCATTATTAAATATGAATTTTATATTAAGTTTAAGATTGACAATTTTAGCACAAAACCATATGCAACAATAAGAACAAAGCACTTATAATATTTAAATAGTTTGGATAGTTAAGTAATTTGAATTATATTTTTAATTGTATTTATAAATCCGGAAAAGCGATCCATCCACTTGATTAAATGCATTACAGTACGCGCAAGGTTTTTAGGTTTTAAATTAGCAAATTTAGTTTTAAGGTCCTGTACCTATCTGAATATCACATTTGAAATTTGTTGACTGTATAGCTCAGTAATATGTCTGATATATAAATAAAACCACGTTATGTTTATTTTTAAGTTTCAAACTTCCATAAATTTATTTAGATTGCAAAGTAACAGAACATTTCATAGCATAAACTGAGCATCTTAACAAATTGGTTTCAAATGAAATTCAAAACACAGACGTTTTTAAAAATGAAATTTCAGGTAGACGCAAGAGAACTTTCATTATATCAACCATTTTTTTCTTTCATTTTTCTCATCTTTTCTTTTTATCAATTCTCATCTTTTCTTTTTAACAAGTTTTTCTAATAAAAAATCCCCTCATATTCTAGAGATCATTTATTGATACATAAATAAGACTCAGTGAAAAACTAATTTATGATGAAAAATTCTCCAATTTGCTGACGAGAGATAAACCGTCTTAGTCCTATTTTACCAATTGAATTTAAAAAAGGTTCCAATTTGCCGACTGAGTATACAAAACGGTCCCAATCTGCCGGCTAATTGCGCAAAAGTTCTTTGAATGAAGATGGGGGGAGCACATACCCTCATACCCATTTTCGCCCCGGTCTTACCTATACCATCTCAATAGATGTCAAACTTTTTATACTATACTCTTTCTTGTTTTTTATAAAATTTTTAATAGTTAACGTACGCCTTCCAAAAGTTGAAGCTAAGTTTATAGAAAGCAACTTTTAAATAGTAACCCAGTGAGAAATCAGCTAGGAATTAACTACTTTTAAATCAGCTAGGAATTAACAACTTTTAAATAATAACCCAGTAAGAAATCAGCTAGCAATATTTGTAACAATAAAGACAGAAAATACAAAATTGAAGATAAAGAACGGTTCCAAAAACAAAACATATAGATATGATAACGGTGTGATATAGATAGTTTTGTGATTCTTTTGTGATAGTTTTAAAATTTGTAAAAGAGTTTTTGAAAAGAAACAATTCTGGATAATTATAACTTTAAAAATAACGTAAGCACTCGATGCTTAGTTATTAATTAACCAACCATATTATCTTCAATATGAGTATAACAATTACAACAAAGTAAGAATATATATGCGATCAGAAATTACAAATGTTTTTTGAAAGGAATATATGGTGCGGGTGCTGACTGTTTTGAAAATCGCGGGTTTAACCGCTTACGATTTAATATTTTAAATGAAGAATGAGCTATTGTACGCGCTAGTAAACAGAAAATATAAAATTATATATATATATATATATATATATATATATATATATATATATATATATATATATATATATATATATATATATATATATATATATATATATATATATATATATATATATATATATATATATATATATATATATATATATATATATATATATATATATATATATATATATATATATATATATATATATATATAAAGAAGGAAAGAAAGAAAGAAACCTTCGCACTTAAAGAAATTAATCATTGCACCCTAAAACTGAAACTTTTGGCCATTTTGGTTTTATAAACTTTTCAACCATTTAATCATACAAACTTTTTTAAACTTTTATCAGCTTACACAGAGATTTAAAAACTTAAGAGGTTGTACTAATGAAACTTTATGTTATATCAAATAACTGATTTATTATAAATCAGTGATATAATATAACTCTGGGGGCGGATCCAACATTTTTTGGCGTTTGAAATGCATAGAATGGATAGGCTGGATAGCTAAGTTGGTTAGAGCGTCAAACAAAAAGCTTAAACCCAGACAGTTGTAAGATACAAGTTCAAATCCTGCCACCGCCAACTCAGCGCTGGAGTAATACTTCGGTACGCAAAAATGTTGGTCAATAATGGATGCTACCCGACGGGCATTTGTTTTTAAAAGTTACGTTCTAAATGTGTTTTAAACGGCTTTTAAACGTCTTTTAAACATTAATGTTTAAAAGACGTTTAAAAGACATTTAAAATACATTTAGATCGTAACTTTTAAAAACAAATGCCCGTCGGGTACTTTGGATTAGTCTTAATGACTATTCGTGGCTGTTCCTATGCTAAGCCAACAATATCTTCGGATATAAGAACATTGTATAGAAAAATATAGCATGAAAGTTCAAATAAAGTAAAATAAATAAATAGCGAACTTCCTGACATCGAGCGAACACCAAACATTTATATGTTTATACTAATATCAAATACAAAAAAGGTACAAAAAAGCCCTAAAATTTTGGTCATAACTGCCTCAAACGTGAGTTTGTTATCTAATTAGTTATCTCAGATATCAAAAAATGCTGGATTCTCCCCTGAACTGTTTATATAAGTTATAAAATTTAATATAAGTCAATTATGTAATATAAATGGGGCACCCGTAGCGCAGTGGTTAGCGCGCTGGGTTCAGAAGCTAGAGATCCTTGGTTCAACGTCACCTCTGGGCATGCTTTATAACATTCAAATGCTCTTCCACGGTGCTTTGTGATAAGAACGTAAGGGCACCTAAATTAAAAATGAAATAATAACTGACTGTCAATATGTAGGCAAGTAGTTTTTCGTGAGTCTGCCAATTGAAAAACAAACATGTTGAAAAAATATTAAGTTAAAATCATTCATTTAACAGGAAAAAAAAAATTTCCATTGAAAATAAACTTTTTTTACCCGTTTCATTGTATAAGGCCATTAGTTTGATAATGCTAAAAGAATATCATCTTCAAAGTATTATCAACTATAGGACTTGTTAATGCCAAATAAATTAAATAAATTTTTAATGGAGTTTATAACATATGTTGTTTTAAAATAGTTATAGGTTTTATATTTTTAATAAAAGTTTTATAAATAAATGAAACTGTTATGGAAGTAGTATGCAAAATAAACAACTTCATTTCAATATTTAAATAAATATTTAACAAAGGAGCTAATAAATCTTACCCAAAATATTATTTCAATAATGACAATACTTTTCTTGTTGTTGTTTTTTTAAGCATTTTTGAATATTTTCTTATTTTTTCTCTTTAACAATCCCGGAAAAATTGATAACACCGACGCTTAAAAATTGATAACACCGACGCACTTTTATTTTTGCTGTAATAAAAACTTGATCTTTTTACAATTTTTAATTTTTATTTAAGACTGTTACAAGAAAAATTAATAATAAATAAACGTGCAGATGTTTATTTCAATTTATTTCATCTTTTGATGTAGTTTATGACATTTTAATAACAGCCGTTTTCAATAATTATTTTTAGTGAGCCCATTTCTTTTAGCAACAAAAACCTTTATAAAAAATAAAGTTAATAAACCTTCATACGTTTATCGTAATTCGTTTTAACAAAAATTTATAGTTGCATAGATAATATCATTTTTATCGTGCAGTTTAAACTAAAATTTTCTATTTTTTAAACTGTTGAAATGTTAGAAGTGAATTATTAATAAAAGTACATTGTAATTAATCAAAGCGAACTTGATTTTCTTCATGGTCATCCTTACTATGACTAAAGTTGAATAAAATATTAGTTACTCGCACAAAAAAGAATGTTTTTCAATAGAAGTTACGTTCACAATAGATTTTTTTTAATGTTTCAAAAACATGTGCATTTTTTATATTTATAGATCAAAAATTTATAATGAAAAAACAGTTAGTGAAATCTACTAGTCTTAAACAGCTTTTCTATCTGCAGCAAATATCCATTCAATTTTTTAAAAAAAACCTTCAATAATTTCTAAAAAATTTGATTCGATTTTGATTCCTTTTTAACAATAATTATATTAATATAAATTTTTAAACATTACGTTTTTGTTAAAACAACCTATTACTCATATGTTATATATGTTACGCCGAATTTTCGAACTTACCGAATATATATATATATATATATATATATATATATATATATATATATATATATATATATATATATATATATATATATATATATATATATATATATATATATATATATATATATATTCGGTAAGTTTGACAGTGGTGCCGAATTTGTGAAATAAGCAACATTTGGCCAATTTCACGAATTTGACAAGTTTGTAAATTCGATGTTACATATACATACATAAAAACGTACAGAAAGATATACATACATACATGCGGTTATTAGAGTGTTCCCAGAAGTCATTACGGTCTTACCCCAAGGCACCATGGAAATACATTTAACTGGGAAGTTCACACCTCCTCATTGACGGATTAAGACTTCTTGGGGCCTGGGGCTATTTTTGTTTTTGGAGGTCTTTTTATGAGCCAGAGCTTAAAAAGGTCCTCTAAAATTTTTGGGAGCCCCTAAGTTTGTGGGTCCCGGAGCTATAGTTCCCCTCCCCCCTCCGATCCGACACTGCACTTCCTGCCTTACCAATGTCTCTTATTATGCTAGAACTGGCTTCGAACCTCAGACCTATTAGTTTTGAATCAGAACTCTAACTACTGTACCTCGGTTGCAAATAAATACATACATCCATTCATTGAATGGATGAATTTGTTTATTTGCCGCCATTTGTATGATTCAAATGCAATCTTTAAAAGTATGTCATCCTGGGTCTCAAAGAAATAAAATCGAATGAAAATGTTAAAAATAATGAATGTTTTATAAAATAAGTCGAAAAAAAAGTTATCATCAAAAGAAGTTGTAAAAACGCACTTTTTCATTTTTAGTTAAAATAACATTTTAACATGTTTTTAAGCAACATATGTATATATGTATGTATGTATGTATGTATGTTGAAAACTTGTTTTATCTAAGTTTTTTATTTTTTGAGTATGGTATTAAGATAAGATAAAAAGAAGCTTACTCGTTTTTAGCCTTGCAGTTTTTGAGAAATTAGATTTTTGTTTTTTACCCAAACTGAGAAAAAAAAATTATTTTAAATTTTAAACTCCAATTTCAATTTGCTGATAAAATATTTAATTTAAAATGTATCGTCCTCAAGTTAGGGCTGGAGCAAATAGAGGGGGAGAAAGGGGGAACTCCCCACTCTTATAAAACAGTTTCAGTTCATTCAGTTAACAAATTTGGATCATTCAGTTAACAAATTTGGATGTTCAGTCAGCTAGATTTTTAGACCAGAAATTGAGAATCTTTTTCATTTTATATGTTCCGGATCCGTCTTTAGGTATGAGGTTTTTATCTTCGTCATTGTATTTTAACTCTTAGTACTCGTATATTGTGTGCTGTAACAAAAATTACAGCAACAAAAACATAAATAAATGAAATTGTATGAACTTAATTTTTTTCATTTATCAATTTTGATTTCTGACTCTATTTCATTCTTATCATCATAGAGACTTTTGTCAAACGTTGACTTTTCACACGTTTCACCGGATGCAGATACGTACACGTTTAGTTTATAGGAACATCAACTTGCGATGCAACCATACAAGAGCAGTTAAAAAACTCGAGAAGTAAATCTAGTACAGATGATAATGTTGTCCAAAACATTATCATCTGTACCCAAAGCACTAATATTTTTGAAGAAATATATATATATATATATATATATATATATATATATATATATATATATATATATATATATATATATATATATATATATATATATATATATATTTTCTTTTGTACAGATTTTTTCACGAAAAAAAAATATATATTTACACCTGATGATTGCATTTAGCATGAAACTTATAATTGTGAAAAATATGCAGTTTTATTTATTACCCAGCAAACAATAGACGTCTTTTAGACCGACTAAAATTGGTCTAATTTGTATCTATTGCCGATACGTATATTTTAGACGTATATTAGAGATCGAAAAGACGTCTGATTCTAGAGATACTATTTTTGCTCTGTTTTAGATGCATATTAGATGCATAAAATAGATCGTGCTTAGATAATTTTTATTTCATCTAAACTTAGATGTCTATAAGATGTCTTTTATAGATTTGTTATAAAAACAAGAAAAAAAAATTTTACGGAGTGATAATTATAAATGACCGCCATTTAAAAACCCTGCGAAACTTATTTCGAAAAAAGCATGAAGATTTTAACCTATGGAAGACATCAATGATTATTTCTTTTGATAAATTTTAAATAATAAAATAACATGCTATTATAGTTCACAAAATATTTCGATGATTTGATGCTTAGCATGTTTGCTAAAATCTTTGTGATTTGAAATTTATTTTGCAGAAATATTACAAAATTAATATTTCCAAGTTGATATTTTTATTTCTAGAATAAAAGAAAATGTAATTAAAATATATGTATATATATATATATATATATATATATATATATATATATATATATATATATATATATATATATATATATATATATATATATATATATATATATATATATTTATATATATATATATATATATATATATATATATATATATATATATATATATATATATATATATATATATATATATATAAGTGTTTTTCAATAACACAAAAGATTGTTTTATTGGTTGTGCACTTATCGAGGAACCAAGATTCATTTATGTCTTTTACAAAAAGGGCATACGAAAAGAAACGCAGTAGACGTGTCCAAAAAGAATATTACTAGAATTAAAAAATACTAGAATTTTCGTCAGTACATATAAAAAAAAAATCGAATGTTGGAACTTCTAAAAAAAATGATTTCTTATCTTGCGAAAATCTAAAAGATTATTTTGACCATCGTGAGTCATCGATTTTGTACAATGAATACTCTTATGACCAAAAGCCTAATGAGTATAAGCATAACCCAACTTTAAAGGAAAGTTTTTCTGTATGTTTTTCTAACCAAGTAATTATGCACTAAAGAAGTGGATTGACAAAGAATAGCAACAAATTTATTGTCCCAAAAAAAAACTATAATCATGGACTAAAAAACAACCTTTTCGTCAACAAAAGAATGGCACAAATTTCTATTGATAAAGTGTAAGATAGCAGATAGTCAGTATCTAACTTGTTTTGTGTTTTTTTTAAAGGTAAATTTTCCTTTTATTTTAACTATTTGGGTGTCCTATTATATGTAATGTTGTTAAATTGGTTACATATATTTATATCATTGACAACATTCTATTATATTAAATAATTCTTTAATCAACTTGATATGAAAATTGAAAAATGATTGAAAGCATGCTGAAATTGTTTAAATTCAGAAATTGAAAGAGTACAAAATTGGTTGAAAAATTAAATTAAGTAACAGGTATGGTTGAGGGATTATTTATAGTTCTAATTATAATTATTTCTTTTGAATAGAGTTGTTATCAGATTCAAAGATTAAAGAAGATAATTTTTCTTCACATTTTATTGATGAACAGAATAAAACCGAGCAAAGTTCACATTGTCAAAGAGTTTCAAGTTTTAATATGAGTTTTTTTGGTTTTTACACCACTGAATGTTAATATGGAGGTCTTTTTTGTTAATTTGTTTTTGTATTAAAATAATTGAAAAAGATAGGTATAAAAGAATAGAAATGGATTATTTACAATATTGTGATCCGATAAATGTGTGAAGCATTTTACCTTTAGTAGTTAAACAAAATTCTTTAATATCGTAACTTTTTACAGGATAAAGTTTTAGCTGATTTAAAAAGTAGGTTTTCTAAAATATTATGGCAACTTCTGCGATAGAGTAATTAAAAAACTTACATGTATTTTTGGAGTTTTAGTTTGAAATACTCAAGCATAATTTGAATTTTAAAGTTCATTTTTCATTGTTTTGCTATTTGGTTTTATTAGCTAAATATGTTAATCAATCTTTTTATTCTTGTTTGTAGAAATGCAAAATGTTATTCTCAACGAACTTGCAGAAATAAAAGTTCTTTTAAAAGAAGTTATAGAAATTAAGTTTCAGGCTACTGGGGTGAAGTTGCTAGAATCAGTGGACGAAGTGGTTACACTGAATAATAAACTAAAAGATAAAACTGAGTATACTAATTTGGTATAATCTAATTATCTTAATTTTTAATAAGTTTGTTTAAATTTGGTTTACTAGTTTAGAATCTAAATAAAAAGTATTTGTAAATGAACTAAAATAACTAGCTTGTGTTAGACTCAATATGTTGTAAAGAAATTTAAGTTACACTAGTTTTTATTACATTTATTTCAGCTTGATAGTTTGAAAAAGATTGGTGGTGGAAAGCCAAGAGAACATGTTTTTTATTCATGAAAAGGTAAATGATTATGTTTTTATTAATTATTAGAAATATGATCAAAAGGGACATTTTGATCATATTTCTTTTATATAGCAATTCATTTTGACCATTATTTGTTATGGATTTACTTTTAACATGACAATTTGATAAACTCGGTAGCTTCACTGTAGGTGTTTAAGTTTATTTGTGTGCTAAAGTAAGTGTAATGCTAAACCTTGTTTAGCATTTTATTTTCAAATTTAATGCTTTTACTTTTCATAATTTTAAGCATTCATATATTAAAATATATTTTAATTTTTTACATATATTAAAATAAAAATCTTTATAAATATATTTCAGTTTATTGTTAAAATATTTATCAGGTTATTTTTGAATCAGTTACAGTCCAAATTTAATCGAAAAGGAAATGGGGAAAAGATAAACTTAGAAAATACACATATATACATGTATATATGTGTATATACAGTATTGGACAAAACATTTGCAACCAACATCGGACAATGCTAAAAAGTGTTCCTAATTTTATGTCTTAAAAATGAAACAAACTATACTACCACAGCAAACAGTTCAGGAGTCTGGAGTCATAGCATGCCATGATATGAGCAATCAGCTGACAGGTGACAGCACACAGGCAGAATTTCGTTGACAAGTGCCATTTTGCAGCATACAAAACGAGTGCAACTTTTTTGGTTTGTTTCATTTTCTCAAGTCTGGTCTGTGTCAACGTCACGGAGGTTTTTTAATAATTAAAGGAAGTATCCAGAAGTTTCCAGAAGCATGCAGAAGCTTCCAGAAGTTTCCAGAAGAAGCATCAGGAAGCATCCAGAAGTATCCAGAAACATTCAGAAGCATTCAGACGCATCCAGAAGCTTCCAGAAGTATTGAAAAGAAGCATCTAGAATCTTCCAGAACAGGTTCACACAGGTTCATTTTACTATATAAGAGACATGTAATTCAGTCAGTTTATGAAAGTCAATCAGTCAGTATTATCAAGACAATTTATCGAAGTGAGTTTTATCAAAGTGTTTTATCGAAGAACATCAATACCAGAAGTGAAATACAACAAGTGTTTCATTACATCAATACAGTCCACATCCAACCAAGACGTTATGTTCCACAGAGCCATATTTTATCATCACAAGGTAAATGTAACACGGTAAGCCTTGAGAAGTGTGGTTATTTATTTAAGAGAAAATTATTTGCGATTACTTAAGTGGAATGTCACAAAAAAGTATTTGTGATAAATATTGCGTGAAAAAATAGATCGTATAAGACAATGTTCTAAATATTGTTCCACAGGGAAGTTGGCAGCAGATAACAATGGTGGAAGACCTCGTTCCACCACTTCTAGAGAGAATTCTATGATCGTCAGATCTGTCAAGAAAGGATCCCTGGATATCATCAGTTGAGATATAAAAGCAATTAGAGCTGCCTGTACGTCAAGCGTCTGGAAAATGCCTTGATTTACGTTATTGCCATAAGACCGGGAAGCATGGTGGAGGCAATGTGATGGTCTGGGGGTGTTTTTCTGCTAACGGTCTAGGTCCAATACATCGAATTGATGGAATATTGGACCGTTTCATGTATAAAATTATCCTGAAAGATGTTATGTTACCTCATGCTGAATGGAATATTCCAATAAAATGGGTTTTTCAGCAAGACAATGATCCCAAACACACTGCAAAAGTAGTCAAGCAGTGGTTTCAAGACAACCATCTATTGGTGATGGATTGGCCGCCTCAATCTTCGGATCTCAACCCTATTGAGAACCTGTGGGAGATCGTTAACCGCAGAATTAATCATGAATGTGTTTGTAATAAAGATGAACTGTTTGAACAAATCCAAAAGGCCTAGGCAGCAATTCCACAAAGTTTCATTGATCACATGATCGAATCTATGCCTTAAAGATGCAAGACTGTAATCGACAACAAAGGATTCACCACAAAATATTGATAGCAAAATACAGCTTGGTCAACATTTTGTGGAGTTGCACTTGTTTTGTCCAGAAGGAAATCAACTTTTTTTTTAATACTTTTGATTAATTTATTAATTTTTGTGTACAAATAATGAACTTTGTGATATATAAAATTTAAAGAACGTTGTCTCTAAACAGTTACATAGATATTTCTCTAAATTGAAAAAATGCAGCACTTTTATACAAAGAAACTAAATTAGCATCATTTGGTTGCACTGGTTCTGTCCGATACTGTATGTGTATATATATATATATATATATATATATATATATATATATATATATATATATATATATATATATATATATATGTATATATATATATATATATATATATGTATATATATATATATGTATATATATATATATATATATATATATATATATATATATATATATATATATATATATATATATATATATATAATATTTTATAAAAACAGATTCAGAATTCTACATGTCTTTTAAAGTCATTTGAATGTCATTAATGTTTATATTTTAGATTTCGGCGACGTGGAAGAAAATGTTGACGGCAATGAAGAAATATAGTTTCTTATGTATATTTTTGTGAAATAAAAATTAAGTAATGTTAGTTAAAATGTTTCTTTACTTATTTAATTTAATCCTTTTTTATGACTAATTTAACCGCTGTAACACCTTTGTATCAAACAAGTCCCAGCAAACAAAAAGATATCTAAAATGCATCTAATATGCATCTAAAAACTGGTCTAAAAGACGTCTAAATTCACGTCGTGAACGGGACATAAATAGATGTCTATCTTATAGATGTCTTTTAGATGCATTTTATTCGACACAAATAAATGCCTTAGATGCATAAAAGATGTGAAATATACATTTAAAGATGTATATTAGATGTATATTAGATGCATAAAAGAGCTATTATTAGCTAAAAAATTATCTATTATCTATCTTTATTAAACGCGCCTTAGACATCTATTTAAGAGACGTGTTTTATACATCTAATATGCATCTGTGAGATGTATATTTCACATCTTTTATGCATCTAAAGCAATTATTTGTGTCGAATAAAATGCATCTAAAAGACGTCTATAAGATAGACGTCTATTTATGTCCCGTTCTAGACCTGAATTTAGACATCTTTTAGACCAGTTTTTAGATGCATATTAGATGCATTTTAGATATCTTTTTGTTTGCTGAGTAATAATATATGTATATATATATATATATATATATATATATATATATATATATATATATATATATATATATATATATATATATATATATATATATATATATATCATGGCCTACCTAAATTACACGGCCTGATTTGTTGCATTTTCCGTAAAAAATTAAGAGGCCAGTTTTTTTACGGCTCAAGTATAAAAACTTAATTTTTGTTATGGTTAAGAGTCTTGTTTGCACCATAATTGTTTTATTTTTATTTTATTAAAATGGTTTAATAATAGTTAGATTTTCTTTGAGTACTTACATTAATTTGTTGCTAGATTTTCTGTTAACTGATTGCCTGCTTCAGTTTATTCCAACAGCACAGAATACTGAAATAGGCTTCCAGATAACTATATCAACCCATACCAACATGCTACTAAAAATAATCTCTCATGTTGCTTAAATTGCCTAAAACTCTCCATTGAGCAAAAAAAAAGGTGTGTAGTTTTGTATTTTTTATAATTGAAATAAAAAGAAGAAATACATTTTTGCTAGAAATATTTATTTTGTCTTTTTTGGAATTCTTTTACTTGATCTTTTTTAAATGAATATGTAATTTTTTTTTGCAAATTACTATAAAAAATATAATGGTATTTTTTATATTAATTTGCAATACAATACGAGATCTATATTTGATTCCCATTTTTGGTGGTTTTTATTTGTAAAATTGAAACAACTAGATCAAATCTTTAAAATTTGTTTCGCAAATTTTTACTTAAAAAAGAATGACTGCAATGTTTTATTAGAATAAGAGAAATAACATAAAATACTAAAAAGATGAAAAATAAAATTAAACAGAGGTTGAATTGAATATATAGGTTCTTCTCTTTATAAAGTAATGTTTATTGATCATAAGTTTAACATCAAAATCTTTTTGTTAATTTTTACCATTATTACTTGCTTTAGTATATATATTTGTGCTATCTTCAGAAAGCTGACAGTAGTATTTATGTAGACAACTAAGCAATATCTTGCATAATATTTTTTAAGGATTATCAAAATTCTGGTAAATATTTTCTGGGAAAATCTGCCAAAATCTTTTTACTTATGCACATTTTTAAAAGGCTCACAAAAAGTCTACTATTGGGCATTTAACTATACTTAATAAAACCTAGCTCCAAAGGATCTTTTTGTAAATTAACTATAAACAAATGTAAAGCCTTCTTCAAGGAAATCATGCATAAAAAATACAATTGCGTGTAGTGTTGTAATTAGAGCACAATAAGTTTGTTTGGTTAATGTCAGGTATTTATAAAATTTCAGTACAATTTGCAATTTCTCTATAAAGTGTGGGGTTATACCTAAAAGCCGGCCCGGCCCGGCCCAAAAAACTAAAAGCCGGCCCGGCCCGACTTAAAAGCCAATTTTGTTTATTCTACACAAATGGTTTGTTTTTGCAAAAAGTGTACGTCTATTTAACTTTTTATTGTTATACTAAAGATTTACGGATTTTTAAATATTTATAAGGAAGTAGTAAGTAAAAATATTCTCTATAGTGGCTATATTTTAAAAGCGACAAGATAGTTATTGAAACCACTATGTAGGTGTGCGGGTTTTAGATAAAACACACAAAACAATTTTAATTGCATTATCCAGGAAGTACTGAAACCTATAAGAGAAAGAGATTTGTTCAGTTTACAAATAAGACAAAATGGAGCATACCTTGCACGCTAAGCCATACTTTGTGCGCAAGCAAATGCTAAGTATTGACGAGGTACTCGAGTGTTTGACCAATGTCAATAAAAACCATGTGGCACATAGAACTGCTCAAAAGCCGAAAGGAGGAAATGTTTTTGTGTATCAATATCAAGAAAATGCTAATAAAAGTATGCAGTTTATTAAATATAATTTGTATTGGTTTTGTATATATTTTATTAGGATTCGGAAATCTGAAATTTGTTGTGTTTCTATATCATAATCGCAACCAATGAGATTTTTAAATATTTGTTAAACACATTTTTATTTTTTAGATGATTGGGTGGCAGATGGTTATCGCTGGATTAATAATGGAAATGATCGACTTCCCAGGAAACATCCTGTCATATATAAGCGCAAGTTTAAATCACATAATACAGCCGAGTTATCTTTGAATTTTTTCCGTTTTGCTTTTGTTTCAATTGACTCGTCTATATATCCATATCTTATCGTGCAGTATGTTGGCGATGAATCAACTGCTTTATCGTTTCCGCATGGCAATAGTAAAAAAACATCTACGACACGATCTTATGAACGGACAGCACCTTCGGTACTGGCAAATCTTGCTTACGAGTTAAAAGAGCATAAACCTTCAATTATGCATAAGAAATCATTAACAAGTACGGAAAACATCAATGCCATTCCTCGAAATATTAAGCAAGTGCAAAATATTCGAGAAAGGATAACTACCAGTCAAAAACTATCCAACGACAGCATCGCTAATTTACACGATGTTGCATTTGATCTTCAAGATTTTATTTGGCTAATACAAACGTTTCCCGACTTAATTATTGTTGCAGGGCGGAATGATCTACTGTCTCATTTGAATAAACTTTTACTAGCGAATGGAAAAACACATACGCAAATGTTGACCTACGATACAACATTTAATTTTGGAGAGTTTTACATATCTGTTCTTCTAATGAGAGGAGTTTGTTTTACCGAAAATCCAGTAATACCAGCGATGTTCATGATTCACGAAAGAAAGTTAAAAAGTACTCACCAAACGTTTATTAATATTTTAAAAGAAAAACTACCGGCGTTAACAATAACCAATTGTGCACTTGTGACTGATGGTGAAACAGCATTCGATGTTTTTGAAGAAGTTTTTCCAAAAATTAACAAGTTAATTTGCTGGAACCATTTATTTAAATCAACAAAGCCATGGCTAAAAAAGCATAATGCTACTTCCACTGACATTGCCGTGTACTTTGAAAAAAAATGGCCTTGGCCGGCTTTTAGGTTTTTGGACTGGGCCGGGTTGGGCCGGGCCGGGTTTTAGGTACAACCAAAGTGTGGGTTTGTTATCACCTTTCAAAGCAGCATTGCTGATTTTGATTAGATGAATTAAGTTTCTGCTTTGAATTAAGTATGATAAATAACTTATAAAACAATGATAATTGTGCTGCGTTATTTCTTTCAGAAAAATAACTCTAAATTAGCAGTTGTAGCTGCAGTTGTTTTGTCAAATATTGTCGATGTTGACAACTTGTTTGTTGTTACCAAAATATGTGATTTGATAATTAATTTTTCTTGCTTTTTCTTGCTTGTTTAATAAGTGATCTTTTAATAAACTTTAATAAATATATTCCCTGCAATGTAATCAGCAATAACTTCAACAAGAAGAAAAAAACAAAAACCGCGTTTATCAAATAACAAGTATATTTTAAACACTCCTTTTCTAAACTAAATGATAAATTAAAAATTTTCCATCTCCAGTATATGCTTTATGAAACTATAAAAATGCATTAACATTTGTAAAATAGTTATCGGTAACAATAGTTCTTGTCTTAAATTCAGATTGGTGCATTGAGGTAATACACTCATCAATTTCTTTTTTCAAACATAAACCTGTTATGTAAACTTTAGGTTATGATTTCAAAACATAAGAATAAATTTTTGAAGCCCTACAATCATAATAACAAAAACAAGTTCTTTATAAAGATTGTTTTCTCAATCTTCATCAAAATGTTTACCACTTTGTGCTGTTTTTTGGAAGTAAACCTTACCCACAAGAAGCAAATAATCTCTTAATACCAAATTTTTGTCAATGATTTTTCTAATATATTATAGTTTTTCAATTTGTATTTTTTACCACTGCGAAACCATTTAAATAAAGAAGAATGATAACCATTTATTTGGCAATGAAAAAAATTAGAACTTTATTAACAGCTATTGACTCCAAAACAGTGGGTATGCTTGATATTTCTTGGCTACTGTAAATAAATAGCCTGATTTGTTACATTTTAATTGCTGTATGTTTGAGACATGCAGCATAATAAAGTATTTACAATGCAAAACCTTGTTTTGCAGTGTAAATAATTTAAAGAAAAGTTTATGTTTTCTACTTAATAATTGCAATTATAATAAATACAAAATTACAAACCTTTAAAATTATTTCCAATAGAGAGTTGTGGGTAGTTTTAGCAATATGTAAGATTATTTTTAGTAGCATGCTAATATGTGTTGATATAGCTATCTGAAAGCCTATTTCAGTATTCTTTGTTATTGGAATTAACTGAAGCAGGCAATCAGTTAACAGAAAATCTAGGACAAAATAATTTAAGTAATCAAAGAAATTCTAACTAATATTAAACCATTTTAATAAAACAAAAATAAAACAATTATAGTGCAAACAAGACTTTTAACCATAACAAAATTTAAGTTTTTATACTTAAGCCGTAAAAAAAACTGGCCTCTTAATTTTTTACGGAAAATGCAATTATATTCTAATAAAAAAACATAAATAAGTAATACGATATTACTTTATTAACATTTTTTATTAAAAACACTTTTTTTACTTACACCGTAAAGGTGAAAAACAAACTTTTGTATGCCACTGACAACCTCATCTAGTGACATTTCAATACCTCGCAGTGCTGTGCAGCATCCTTTTTTTTTCTGCAACATTTAGGGTATTTAACTTACCCTTTCCTTGAAAAGCGAACACTGAATTACAACCTAAATAAATAAGTTCAAAAAACATCAGTTTAAACATGTTTGCCAGATATAAAATTAGTGTATATAAACTCTTTGCAATATTATTTTTGACGAAGTGTCATAGAAGCATATAAACAATGTATTGTAGAAAGGTTAATTTTTTCACTTATACAATTTAATTTGTACCTGTAAAGGAATGGTAACCAATCATTGCGTCACACCAAGCATAACCAATCACACTTGCAATTTTATTTACATTTTGAATGCGTCGTTTGTTTCCACTATCAGTTCCAAAATGAAGGGTTGAGGAGATGGACCAACAATGATATAAGGCACTTATAAAAAATTACTGTATCGAGGCTTGCAATTATAATATGAGCATATGAAACTAAAGCATGGCTACAATGTAGTAACAATATAGTATCAGCCACCTCGTGGTTGCTGCGAAGCTCGGGCAATTTAGCACAAACCGAATTTTCGAGGGAGTACGAGCAATTCCTTCGAATAAATAACACTAAATCATTCATTGCATAACCTTTCTACTCTTCTGATAGAAATTTAACCAATTTTTCTTTGTTTCTGCACAAAATCATAAACCTCTTCCATAGTTTTGGTTCTTTTTGACCAAGCCCAAAGTATACTGGATGGTTTAACTGTATTTTTGATGATTTAACTGTATTTTTGTTGCTTGCAAACGTCTTTAGCTTTAGCATTTTTCTCCTTGTGAAAATATCCGGATCATCACTATCCAGGTTATACAGGTTGCTGTAAAAAATGGCCAAAAATTACTTTAAGCTAACCCGAGAAAACCATTTTTTCAGGCTAAAAATGTTTTCAGGGTAAAACTTTGTTTCCTAACTCTAAAAATTTAATCTAAATGTTTTTTTCAAGGAAATAATGTTTTTTGATTTTTGGTTTTTAGCATTTTGCACAACAGATTAAAAAATTACAGCTTTTCAAATTTTGAATTTTTACAGATTTAAAAGCACTTTAAAAACTCCTAGCAACATATTAAACAAAAAAATGATTTACTCTGACTCAATACAACTTTTTTACAAAAAATCAATTAAGAAGTTTTTCTCTGTTAAATTACTATAACAACCTCTTGATTCTAAACATATAAAGAGCAAAATTTAAATTGCTAAATATAAATTCTTCTTTTGGTTGGACACCTTAAAAATGTAATTGTAATCTAAGACACGCGAAAGAGCTCTCTCTGCATACTCTGGATAATTGCGGTTTCTTTTATTTCTACCAGGGTAAGCTGAAATGATGATACATTGATTCTGGTGTTTGTTTACTAAAGATCTCTGAGGGAACACTTTTCATCTAAATGAGCTGCTTCACATGGAAAGAAACAGCGTGAAATTTTGTGTTCATACGAAGGGCATCAATTATATACACTGAAATCTTTTGAAGGAGGTCTAGATTGCTAAGAAACTTGTAACAAGCATTCCACCATTATATGGTTCTTGTTGAATTTGGAAACAACAAACAACAAAAACAACAACAACAACAAGATATTTATTTTCCTTTTCAAAATTTACATATAATCATATAATAACAATAATAATAATATTATCTATAATAATACAAACAATATAATTATTATAAAATATATCTAATAAGAATAAATATAAACAATTATTTGAAAAGGAAGGTGTCACTCAAACAGAAGCTTGATCAAAGGAGTGACACCAAATAATTATGACAATAATAATTAAAAAATAATAAAATTATCTATAATGATACAAACAATATAGTTATAATAAAATATAACTAATAAGAATAAATATAAATAATTATTAGAAAAGGAAGGTGTCACTCAAACAGAAGCCTGATCAAAGGAGTGACACCAAATAGTTATAACAATAATAATTAAAAATAATAATATTATCTATAATAATACAAATAATATGATGACATGAGTTTCACTCATGATCAAAATGAGAGACACCAATTGATTATAACAAGTAGTATAATAATAAAACAATAATAAAAATAACAATTATGAACCGAAAATCGCTAAGAAAATAAATAAAATAATAATAGCAATGATAAAGCTAAAATAAGTTAAATAATAAGACAAAAAATATGAAAACACTCAATAACAACAGCAAACAAAAATAAAAATGATTAGCAAAACAGAACAAATAAAAAACAAACCTTACACAAACGAAAAGGCAAAATACAAAAACTACAAGATGAAACCTAAAAAATACAAAACGAAAAGGCAAACACAAATACTTCTACAAAATAAAATAAAATTAAATCGTTACAAATTTAAATATTACAAATTAAATCGTTGAAAAATAAAATCTTCTTCTTCGTTTGTCTTTCTTTCTTTTTTTTTTTTTTTTTTGTTATTTTATTGTTTTACGTAAAAGTTCTTTTTTTTTTTAGTTCGAAATTATGTTTATCTTTTTGTAAATTTTTTCTCTTGATTTAACTTTTTGTTTTAAATTTATTCATAAGAGCTTGATTATGATTTATTGGTGATTATGATTTATTGGTGACTTTTTTAAAAACAATATTTATCTTTTGATTTGAGTTTAACTTTCAAAGTTAAGTGGATAGCTAAGGGCCAAAGGTTTGTACATGAGCTTGAACAAACTAAGGAAAATATAGAGTTTCATGGGTGGTATAAGCTTTATTTTAGATCTAGACAGCGATTCTCACAGACCACATTGTGCAAAGAACTTTGCTTTTTTACCGCTAGACTTTGCAAACTCTTGATAACTTGCAACAAATCAGCCAAGTTTTTTCAAAGATCCTGTCTGGCGAGAGATTAATTCTATGATTCACCATGAGCAGGGGTGAGTTTTAGCATGACTAGGAAGTCCACAAAAGGTATTGGTAATTTTCATATCACATGAGACAACAAAGTTGATTTTGTTTAAATTGATGGTTGATATAGACACAGCCATTTAGCACTTGACACTGCTGTTCCTGATTGAAATGTTTTTTATATCGTGATGACTTCGAATCACAGTGAGAATCCGATCTATTAATGGCTATAGAGATTTTTTGAAACCCTCAACCACCATCAGTTTCCAAAAACAATTATATATTTCTGAAAAACTCTTCAACAAAGGAGGACTTCATTCAGAAGTTGAGCAAGATTCTTGCAATGCATAGATACATAATCAATGGTTTGAGTAAAAAATTAAGATAACTGTGTGCAAACATGACCGTTCTGTATTTAGCTAAACTTGTATAAGTTCAGTTTTGATGGGTTCAGGAGTTGCAGTTTGGTGGAGATAACTTGGTTACTATTTGCTCTAAAGCAAGTGAATCTGATGTAGCTGCTCAGCAAATAATTTTGTAGTGGATTTGCAGTGGACCTATAAAGACATTTTGAGCGGTTTGTCATTGGTTATAGCTTATTGGTTACTTTCATTAGTGGCATCTGCTATAAGTAGCTAGCCAACAGCTTTACAAAATGTAATATAATGGCTAGTTATTGATTAGACACTTTAAGCAGCTGCCACTAATGGTCCACTAAGTAACCGATGAGCAAAACTATAGTAGACCGCTAAAATGATTTGTATGGTACCCAGCAAACATTCAATAGCGGAATTTCAAAGAACCTATATAAGTATTTTGAGGTGTCCACTGTAGCTTTGCTCAACTGTTATTAAGTGGAAAATTAGTGACAGCCACCAAAGGTGACTAGCCAATTACTAAGCGCAATCCCACGTGTTGGAAATTTTTTGGTTTGACATTAATGTTCTAATAAGTAACAGATAAGCAAAACTCCAATACATCTATCAAAATGCTTATCCAGCAAAAATTTTGGAGTGGACCTGTATATAGAATGTTTGCTGGGGTGTAAGGAATTAAAAGGAAACATTAACTGATTTAGTGAGAACATGCAAGGGAGTGCAATTAAATTGATTTTAGTTTGGACAGACATAAATTATTCGATGCAGCACCACTCTCCTACATTTTCTCCTTAAATCAGTATGATATCTGTCTGCGTTTTTTTGAAAAATTAAAATTATTTTAGAGATCTCATATTCTTGATGTTCTTATATTCTTTATATTAACAATTAAAAGCATAATTATATATAATTACTGTTTTCAGACTGACTGGTGGTAAGCCTTTTTATGGAAAACTCTTATTTTAAAATGTGCGGTATTTTTTCTGTATTTTAACAAAATATGTCAGAAAGAACTTTTAAACATTTTGCAGTCCAAAATTTTGACGAGCATAGCTAGGTTGCACAAACCTAAGTGTGGACCTGAATACCAGTAAAATATGGTAAAGAATGATTAGGCTTTACAATTTAAATGTAAAGAAAACTTTTAGTCAAAAACTCTATGAAATTTTATACTTAATCTGCCTTTTTTAGACCACACAACCAAACAGTAGTTTGTGTACTTAACTCAGTTATAAAAAAAAATACGAGAAAAAAACTTTGCATATCGGAAAGTTGTTATAAGTTAATTTATCAATGTAACAAAAAATATTTTGTTAAACTTATAAATTTTTTGCGCTCAATTTTAAATCTCTTGTCTCTTTTGTCTCTTGTTCCGTTAAAAAACAACTATAAAAAAAATAAATAAACGAAAGCAAACAAAAGATTTTACTTATAAAAGATACTCATGAAAGAGGTGTTTACTTTCAAAGTTTTTAGTAAAATGTCAGTGAAGTTTTTTTGACTTTATATATATTATTTTAAGGAAATATTTCGGTACAAATACTTCTTGAAGAACAATGACGACATGTTCTAAGCAAAAATTATACTTCTCAATTGCTGCTGCCGCGTTTATGTTAGTTTTATTTTTTACTGTTCGAGAAAAGTATTTTGATAGTACCAATTCACTTAGACCTGTTTTCCATTCAAATTTTAATACAAGAAGAAAACTAGATATAAATAATAAAAAGGCTATATCAAATTTATGGGGTTTTTTATCATTTGGTAACAAAGAATTGGAAGTTCCAAGTAAACAAAACGTCTGGGATTTATGGATGAATGAACATCCACAGTTAACATCGATTGGAGATATATACGATAAATGCGGTAAGAATAAAACATAATATATATAAAAAAGTTTTATCTTAAAAAACTTTTTTTAAAATAATATCTTAATTGTATACTTTTTTGAGTATTTTGTGGAGCATTTGTGCGCAAACTTTCAAGCCTCCAGTTTCTCAACTCTCAGTTTTTCTCCAAGCCTCTCAAACTTTATATCTTCTGGTCTTCTGAAAAACTTTCTCTCCAGCGTAGAAAGAACTGACTGTTATTTGTACGGGGTTGAGGCATAAGGTGACTTTATAAGACAAATAGCTGAAGGTGAAGGGCAATTCCTTTTAAATAAATCTCATATACCATAATAAATAAGTTTTGTATTTTCTTTTATATATATATATATATATATATATATATATATATATATATATATATATATATATATATATATATATATATTATAGTTATGTAGTTATGCTAATGTTAGATTGCATAGAAGGCCAGTACTTGAAATTTGTAAAAAAAAAAAAAAAATCACTGTTCTTTAATTCTAACCATTCTTTACCTAGAAAAATCATTCAGTTTTTTTTAATTATAATATATTTTTAATCATTATATTTAAAGATAACCAAACACGAAACAAAGTTGGAAAGGTTGTGTTGGAACCAAATGGTAAAGATTCTGTTCAAGTTATCTCTTACACAAATCAATCTTACAGTAAGTGATTTTTTTTGAAGAACTTTTTTTTTTCTTATAAAGATTTTTTTTTATTACTGATTTTTAAAAGTTGAGGGAATTTTTTACCGAAGTAAAAAGATTTTACAATTTTTTAGAATTTTTATGATTATTTTCATGGCTTTAAAATATTAATAAAAAAAAAAGAGCATATTTCCTATCAAAAGTTTAAAAACAATAGTTTTTAATATGAAAAACTTTTAAAAGCGGTGGTTTTAAAATAGAAAACATTACAAAAAATCTCTTTTGATTTTTGTATGAGTGGTTGACTTACATTTTAATCAATTATTTTTTTATTTATTTTATTGAGTTAACTTATAATGATTAAAAATCTAGATCGTTAAAAAGAAATAAGCAATTGGGTATAATGATACAATTGGGAATTTTATAAGAGTCTTTTATTATGTTATAAAGTATACTTTTTACAAAATCTTTAGAGCATCCACCGTTAAAGGATTGTTCCCAGTCTAAAATAGCTAAAGTAACTCCTATTTTCAAGACGGATCATATACAGAGGATCATACAAACATAACAAACTATCGCCCAATTTCTGTTTATTCAATTTTTTCAAATATTTTGAAAAAGTTAGGGTAGAGCGGATCTAGTTAAGAAAATATTTACAAAATCAAACAGATTTCATGAACGACGCGTCATAACTACATAAATCCTTTTATTATTGGAAAAATAATTAAACAAAATAATAAATTAAATAATATTTAATTTTTGTTTTGTTTAAGAACATATTGTCTAATGTTTACGGAGCTCAACCTCTCCCATCGGATAAATTGAGCTACTCTGTGGGGCAAAGTTTTTATAACAGAGATTTTTTGTCTCAAATATTGTTGGCTAAAACGTGTGTTGTTCCGCAAGACTCGGACTACTCTTTATAATATGTATATGTAAACGAACTTTTTGTAAAACTTCAAACTTAGAAAAAATAATCTCTATAGATGATACAAATTTATTTCTATCACGTAAAATTATATTACTGTATTTTTCAAAAGAATTAAAAGAAATTTCTGATTGGTTCAAAATAAAAAAAAGTTCTCTAAGCACTGATAAAACTAAATGTACACTTTTTTATCCTGATTAAAAAAACGGATTACCATAATTGTAAAAAGTGAAAAAGTTACAAAAATTGCTTAAAGTCAACATAGATAAAAATTTCAACTGGAAGCATTTCATTTATAATTAATGATATTCTATATATAAAGCTAGAAACATGCTAAATAAAAAGCTGTTGACACAGTTATACTGTGTCAACAGTATGATAGTTTCCATTTATTCTCGTATAAACTACTCTTTATTTAAATTATTTCCACACGTACTTCAATATCTTTATTGCCAAAATAATAAAAAGCAAATTATAAATCTCGTGTTGACCACAATCTTAATGCTCTTTTTGACGAATTTTTTCACAACTCTATTGTAACATTTTGCTTGATTATTCTAATATTGTGAATGGCTTCATAATAACCATAAATACTTCTGTGATAGTTCAGAAATATTTTCAAATTATTACTGTAACATTTCTAAAAATATGAGAAAGGAAGTTTTAAATGAAATAAAGATTTTATTATAAGAGCTCTGGAAACAAAAATGTTTTACAAAAAGATTTCTGAATTTTGAAATGATTTCAAATCAGAATGAGGCCAAGAGATTTTTTTGGTACAAAGCTGTTGACTCAATACCTTGCTTTGGAAGACCTAAAGTTAAAACTAAAATAGCCAACTAAACTAGATTATTGGTTATTTAACTAAAGAAATAAAATTTTAACCCTATGATCATAAAAGTTAATATATTTGTACATCTATAAAACATTGAAAAAATAAACCCCAGAAATTGTGCTTGTTATCATTTTACTGAGTATAAGAAGCGTAGTTCAATTTGCTGAATATAAGAAATACCACGCTCCTTATTCTCAGTAAAATGTACTACGCTTCTTATACTCAGTAAATTACACTACACGTCTTATACTCAGCAAAATGATAACAAGCACAACTTCTGGGGTTTTCACTTAAAATTTCATGCTAAAAATGTTGAGGTGTATTAAAACTTGATAAGAGTATTTAACAGGTAATACAATATTATTCATAGAAAAAAAAAAAACAAGAATGTGTGAATAATTTGCTCATACAACTGCACTCACATACATGTGTACTAACATCATGTCTATCTACATCACCAGGCCTGTTGACCGTATAATCTGTAAGAAAAACTGGAGGACAATTAATTCAGAAGATTTTGGGAAAGTTTGTTTGTGGAGTCTATGTAAGACAAAACTTATTATGTCTTTAAAGTGTTTTGTTACTAATTTTTCCACTAATTATTTAACTGACACAAAAAAATGTGCTGTTTACAGATTACCAAAAAATCCAAAACAACACAAAAAAAGGCTATATGCTATTCCAAGAAGTAATATTCCTGATAGCAAATATACTGTTGTTTGTTCTAAACATTTGGCCTTTAAATTTCAAAAAACAAATTTTTTTTGGTAAGAAACAACCCTCTACTTCTCCATCTATACTTGATTTTGTTAGATCCAGCCTTCTACTAACTGCACAAAATCATGGACTACAGCTTCGGCAACTTTCAGTGCAATTGTGCAAGTTAACGCATTTAAGTATATAGGTGTTTACATATATGACACATGTGCAATAACAAAACAAGCTCAATATATTTCATAATGGCTAACAGTATAGTCACATTGATGTAGTTTGGAGAAACTGTATATCATATTGATGTAGTTTGAAGAAAAGCTCCATACTAAACATGCCTTAGTCATTGTTACTTAAATAAAAGTATGCTTTTGAAGTTTTTAAAAATGAATTTAAATACAGCTTATAATAATATTAACATTTTAAAGTCTTTTTTTTTAATAACTGTTTTTGTTTAAATGTCTATAAATAAACTTTTAACAATAAGTTATTGTGGCAGTTGATGGAGCAGTTGATGAGCAATTAAACATAGTCAAAAAAGTCTAATAAGGTAATGGAGTTTTTAAACTAATAAAGCTATTGGTTTGTTCTTGAACCTCTTAGCAACAAAACAGCATTAGCATAGTTTCTCTGAAAGGTTATTTGCAGACATAATTGCTTAAAAATACAAATCAATGATAATGGTCATAAGCATCCATTGCATTACATGACATGACAGACGCTGAGTAACTTTTAATATTGCCTTTCCATCTACAGGCCAATAGCGTTATAGAGAGACAATGAAAAAGGCCAATAGCGTTATAGAGAGACAAAATCATGCAAATGTTAAATGTTGAGTATCAGAGTAGAAACCTTTTTGCTCGATATTCCATTTTCTTATGACCGAGTCTATATGAGGTACTTTATTAAATTCCACATGCCTATTAAGGAGCTGCAAACGGAACAACGCATTACACAAGTTATACTTTTTACATCATATAAAATCATTTTTTGAAAAGAAAACTAATTTGTGTAAGCTATCTTCAGAGTTTGGCTATCAAGATAAATTTAAAAAAAAAACTTTAACTTTAACCCCTCTAAATAAATGCCCGAAAATTGCAGAAAAAATTAAAAATTTTATTATCGGGTGGGCACAGAAAAATCCGGTCATCTTTAAATTGAGATTTCTCCAAAACCACAAATGCTTTTTATTTAATTTTTTTTAATTAAACCTTACTTCCTTATTTTAAATGGTGTTGATAAATTCTTGTTTACAAATTAATGATTTGCAAAATGTTTTGGAAATAAATTGAGGTGCGTAAAAAAGTTGTGAATTTTTTTTGCAAAAATCCATCGACTTCGTACCGCTTGATTGCTAAACACACAAATGTCCCAAAATCTACAGTCATAGATATTATAAACAAGTTCAAGACTACTCAAAGCTTCGAAAGAAAACTTGGAAATGGAAGAAAAAAAATTTTCCATAAATCCAAAAAGGTAAAGTCGATTTTACCTTCAATAGCAAGAAATCCAAAGCAGTCACAGCGAGATCTAGCAAGAAAATTCAAGATTTCTCGTTCTTATATCAAAAAAGTATTTAAAAATACTAGAATTAATGCATTTCATAAAAAAAATACACCTAAAAGAAGCTTATATTGTGAAATTAAAGGAATTCGACGCGCAAAGAATTTGCTCAAAATAATGGCGAATAAAAATATGTGCATATGTGCAGTTTTACTATGAAAACAGTTTTACTATGAAAACAAAGATAAATCTGTTGATGATCAATTTACATATATTCGACGAGAAAAATTTGCATCCAAGTTCCTTGTGTGGCAAGCAATTTGTAGCTGTGGTATGCATTCCTCTTGTTTCGTCACTAAAAAGACCTTGACTGCCAATCTCTACATCATAGAATGCCTCCAAAAAAGACTTTTGCCTTTTATAAAAAAACACAAATACCGATGTCTCTTTTGGCCCGATCTTGCTGCCTCTCACTATTCTAAAAAAGTTCTACAGTGGTGCAAAGATAATAATGTGAAAATTGTTCCAAAAGATGCGAATCCTCCAAATCATTCTGAAGATCGCAAGATTGAAGATTTTTGGGCAATAGTTAAAAGAGTTCTTCAGACAGGTGGAGTAACAAATAATAAAAAAGATTTCCAAAAAAAGTGGATTAATGCCACCAATATGGCGAAAAAAGAAAAAATCTGTGAAATGGTGGCATCAACCCGCTATAAAGTTCAATTTCTTGCCAAACAACCCTTCAAGCCCCTTAAAACTAAGTTGAAACTCTAATTTATGTAAACACATTTAATAATAAAAAAATTGAAATAAAAAGCATTTATGGTTTTAGAAAAATCTCAATTTAAAGTTGACCGGATTTTTCCGTGTCCACTCGATATGCTATATCTTACTTGAGGCAAAGGAAATAATCTTCAAAATTTATGTCAAAATTAAACCTTAGGGGTTGTCCACAAATTACGTCACGCAATTTTTAAATATTTCAGACCCCCTCTCCCCTCCTCGACACAATATCGTAACACTTTAGTAACGATTGTCGTATGAATCGTCACAAAACTATTAACAGCTTCTCTCTCCCCCCCCCCCCCTATAGTGTGACGTAATTTCTGGCGGACCTCTTATGGAAACTGCTTTTATTACTGTTTTGCATTGTATGTATATATAGTGCTAGGCTAAGATTACCACGGGTAAAGAAATCTAGGATTTTTATTTTAAATTACGCTGACCACGTTTGTTATCAACATCCCTCCTCCCCCTCCCCCCCTTCGCCAACCAAAGAGTCTTGTATTTGTCACTGATATATATATATATATATATATATATATATATATATATATATATATATATATATATATACATTTTTTTTTTTTTTTTAATTTTTACAACTACATATTAATTACAAATTTTTTTTTTACACTGCGATAACATAAACAAAATAAACTTCCAATACAAAAAAATTAATATTTTACAAAATACCGTTAAGATAAACATAGGAAGCAATAATTAAATATGCTGTGACTTGATCAGGTTGAACAGTCAACTGTGACTTGATCACTTGAACAGTCAAGGGTTTTGACTGTTGTAGGGAACTCGTAGAAGACTGAGTTTAGTCTTATCATCGAGAACCTTGGGGTGTTGCGTAAAGTACACATATAAACATTATGATTCTCATAAAACAAATATTTTAAATGTCATTGAGGTAGACTTTTCTTTTCTTTTTATTATACTATGTATGGTGTTAGTGTTGTGGTTTATAATAATAATATTATCTTTATTTTTTAATTAAAAAAAAAAAAATCATTTTCATTTGAATTGACTGCTGATTATTTGAATGTGAGCGTAAATATTAATTTATTATTGGAACTAAAACATTTTTAAGTAATTATCTGTATTGAGAACATGATTTTTTAGTTTTGACTTTAAAGAATTTATATTGTCAGCAAGAGAAATTGAGGTATAATTCGGAATTAGTTTGTTATATAAATAAGGGCTGCGGTAAGAAATGGAGAATTGAGAGTTTTTTTGTCTTTTCCGGGGAACAATAAAGTTACCAGTTGATCTTGTGTTAAATTTGTTGAGATTAGATTGAAAGAAATTTTCTGTAAATCGGTTTGGAACTAATCCTAATTTGTATTTTAGCATGAACAATATATTAGCATAGATATTAATTTGGTAAATGTTTAGCGCTTTCATTTCATTTAATAGGGGTTTAGCGTGGGTCAGTTTGTTCTTATGATGTATTATTCTGGAGGCATGTTTTTGTCGTCGATAAAGGGACATTAACTTTGTCTTGTGTGTGCTTCCCCAAGCAATATTGACATATGTGAGATAACTATGTATAAAGGAAAAATAAAGAAGTTTTAGGTCTTTTTGTACATTTTTTTTGTACATTTGTTTTATAGTACATTTTTTTATATATATGTACATAGTACATTTTTTTAAATAATGAGATTATTATTTAAGAATAAGTAGATATTTTTAAAAGTTTTTGATAAAATTTTAATATTTTTTTACACATTTAACGTACAACCATATAACTTTTGCTATGATTGAAATTGATTCTTTGGTGTACCAAAAATTTTTGAAACTTTTATCGGTTTTAACGATAAAAGTTTCAAAGTTTTTAAAAAATGAAACGATGCTCAATATTATTTTTATAGAGTTTGATATCACCAAAGCAACTAGCCATATGAAAATATATTTTGATGGGGATTTACTCTACGAATATGATTACGATGTTTGCGAACAAATTGAACTACTAGAAACGCCTTATCATTGTCCGCTACATTCAGGTTATAAAGTTTAAATATTTTATTTTTTATATAACAAGCTCTTAACTAAATAAAAATTTGTTTGCAAATTAAAAATTAATTTCAACAATTGATAATAATAACTTTTTTATAATTTTTATTTGTGTTTTTATTATGAACTAGGAAAAGAACTTATTATAAGAAGTGAAACTAAGATGCCAAGTTACATACCAAAGGTAAATAATTATGTTACAAGTTACATACCAAAGGTAAATAATTATGTTACAAGTTACATACCAAAGGTAAATAATTATGTTACAATTTACATACCTAAGGTAAATAACTATGTTACAAGTTACATACCAAAGGTAAATAATTATGTTGTGTTTTTAAAACAAAGAATGGGTAGAATAGGATCACTAATAAACTTAGAAGTTCTTTTAAAGAAAATCATGGGATATAATATAGAGCTCTGAAACCGCAAACAGTTTTAGAAATAGAATACAGGGCCGACGACACGGGTTTTTACGTTCCTTTAGAAAAAAAGTTGTGGCCCCTGCCCCCTCCTTTTCTATTAGAAAAAACTTTCGATTTTAAAGATTTCTTCTAAAATCACCTAAAATAATAAAACCTGAAAAAGTCATCACTACTCATTTACTATTGTCTTGTGTATCTTGTTTATTTCTTATTAAAATAAAAAATATATATACTATTAATTTTGAACAGACAAATAACATTTATTCGATTTATTACTTGTGTCTTATATTAGTCGAACTAATATTGTATTGTACTTCAATTTTTAACCTTTTAGTTTTTAACTTGTAACTTTGTGACGTTAATGTAAACGGGGCTTGGCGATAAGACAGTTTATGTCTTCTTCTTGCTCCGGCCAATTTTTATACATGAATGGTTTTTTCTCATTGTAAATTTAATTATACGGCAAAGAAAATATAATAATAATAATAATGTTATTTCAATCACAGGGAAGGTATACTGTTGAGGTATCAGTAAAAAATCAGGACAACGCTGATATTGGCTGTACATTTGTTGAGTTCAAAACAGGACGCGAAGAGAACAAATTAAAGTTTTGAACAAACAACCACTTTGAAAAAAAGAAAAAAAGAAAAAATGAAAAAAAAAACACTTATTGAAATGATATTCATTTACGAATGGACATTTCAAATAAAATTGTTTTATAAGATGGAATTACCGAATGTTGCTAGAAAAGATGTCACGTTAATGTTTAAAATTCCAACGATGTTACAAGTCTTGTTTTAATTTATGTATTTATATATAAAAATTATAGTGTATTATTTTTTTAGTTTTCTATTCAAAATAAAATTGCATCCGAAAACAAGTTAAACTGAAAAAAATTAAATGCTGCAACAGTTAAAAAAGTTGTAACAGCAAACGTCTTATATTAAAAAAGCAAAGATTATATAATATAAAAGCAGAAGTCTGGTAACATATATGTTACAAGATATTATAATTTATATCATATTATTATGTTATATTATGATTTTTATTAAACTAAATTATTTCATTGTGTTATAATTATAACTTTGCTCTATTTTAAAGAGCAAAGTTTATAATATAACAAAATTTTAAAACATTTATATTTTTGTTACTAAAAAAGTCGTTGCTGATTTTTCTGTTTTTTTTAAATCACTCAAAATATTATTAATCTTATATTTTAAGTTTTAAAGTTTTTATAAAGTGAAAAAATAGAAATATTTAAAGTAAAAAAAAAAAAAACAAAGAAAAAGAAAAATCAGCAACAATATTTTTATAAACAAAAAAAATCGATAATTTTATTTTTTGTTCATTAATATTTGTTAAATTTTTTTAAATCAAAAATGTTATTTGTTTTTATATTGTTTATGGTCAGCAACAACCACTTTATTTAGTTTTCAAATTTGTATTTATCAAAAAGCATAGGAATTTTATATAAAGCTAGGAGTTTTCTAAATAAGCACATTTTACTTAAACTATATCATTCACATAAAAACCCATGGGTTACTAGTGAGGTCATTAAAGCAGTAAAAAAAGAGTAAACTCTGGGCTAAATATGTATCAGCAGGACCAGGATCACACCTGACCAGGACCAGAATCAAACTCGACTACGAAGATGCAATAACTTCTTTGTTTAAGCATAACTCAAAGGGACTTAATTCTTATGTCAAAAGCAAAATCAAAGTTCACGATAAAATCCATTTACTTGAAGATAGCAACTGATTAATGACCGATAACATATTTAACATATGTAAGACACTCAATGATTATTTTTATACTGTATTTGATGTAGAGCCGCAAGGACCGCTACCTAATTTTTTAAACCGATCTCCAGCCACTTGTGATAAAGGAGTTAATTTTATCACTTATGAAATAGTCAAAAACAGATTGCTGAAACTTGATCCTTCAAAAGCATCAGGTCCTAATGGAACCCATCCAAGAATCTTGAAAAACTGTTCCTTTAACCATGTTATCAAAGTCCTTTACTTTAACATCCTTTGTTTGAGATCAATGGAGAAAAGCAGAAGTAACACCTATAATCAAAAAAGAAAGTAAGTTAAAGGCAAGCAACTATCGGCCAGTTTCTAAAACTTCGGTACCTTATAAGGTGTTAGAAGGTTTAATCCACAATGGTATTATGCAGCATTGTTTCAACAAAAAACTTATTACTCTAGCTCAGCATGGCTTTGTCAAACAGAGGGGGTGCACAATTAACATATTAGAATCACGGGATATTGTTACAGATGCATCAATCAGGGTTTTACAACAAACGTAATTTGTACAGACTTTTCAAAAGTGTTCGATAAGATACCGCACGAAAGGCTCTTCTATAAACTGAAGGCATATAGTATTAACGGTCAACTACATATTTGGATAAAAAAACGCGTATGGACCTTATACAGTATTATAAAATAATTAATGGAATTGATTCAATCAATTTTGCCACAAACCACACTAACGTATCGAAGATCTAGGTATAGTTTAAAAATAAGGAGCCATGCCTTTGAACACGCCGTCAAAAAAAAATTGAAACATTATGAAAGACGTAATTTTTTCACTAACCGAGTAGTTAAAAACTGGAATTCTTTATTAGCTACCACAGTAAACGCACTATCACTTAACTGTTTTAAATGTTATCAGAAAAGGAGGTCCTTGTCTGCCTTCTCCGTCTATAATTAGAACATGCATTTTAGATAAATTCTTACCACGAACTGTATTTACTGTGCATGATTTTAATAAATATGTAAATAACAATTATAGATGACTGAATGAAAAAATAAAACAAATAAAAAATAAAATAAAGACTCCAAGACTGCGGGTTTAAAAATAATAAGTCATTAAATCTTATGCATTTTTTTCTTTTTGCAGATCATAAATCAACCAACATGTTTAGAGCGTCAGGACAACAGAGACCTAGAAAAATAGAGAAATAAAGTTGGAGTCCGACTTTTGGACTCCACATTCCTGATTTTACTTGAAATGAACAAAGAAACTGTATCTCAAAACGAAAAAAAAAAAAATTATTTTTAGTTATTATTTTCTAATTTATGAGACCGGTTTAAGTCTTAAAAGTTAGAAACTCATTTTATAGAAATAAAAATAAAAATTTGTACCATCATGTTTAAAAATACCCCATATTAAATATGTTGTGGCACATATAATGTAGAGAGTGATAAAATGCCAGTATATGTAGCTAGTAGCCTCAACCATTTATATTATTATTAATTTTTTGTTAAATATATATATTTCGCTGTTCATATAAAAATATATATGTTGGTTCAAAGCAAAGTTTGAATAGTTATATCTTTGAAAGGGGCTGTTCATTAATTACGTCAGCAATTTTTTTGAAATTTTTACCTCCCCCCTCCCCAATAATTTGTCAAATTTCCAGAGAATTCCCCTTATAAAATTATGTCAATTTTTAATTATCCCCGTCCCTATACAAAGAAGCTAAGCTACAAAATAAGCCTAATAAGGTTCGTTATTTAAGCAATAAAACTCAAAAAAAAAAAAATTGTTGACATCAACTTTAATTGACCTCCCCCCTTCTCCTGTCAACAATTGTCAAAAAAGTTCAGATCCCCTTTCCTATTTTGCTGACGTAATTAATGGACAACCCCAAATCTAAATTATAAAAAATTGATGATAAAAATTTTTGAATGTTCATAACTTATTAATATCTTTAAATGGTGTAAAAATCAGCAAAATCTAAGGCTCAGGATTGCAAATTTTACAAAAAAATTAGATGTTTTCACATGGAATTGCGGAATAGCTCAGATAACAATTTATCCGCAATTCGTTAAAGGAAAAGTTAAAAACCGGACTGTTGAACGATATGAGTTCAAATCCCGCCACCGCCAACTCAGCGCTTGAGTAGTACTTCGGTACGCAAAAATGTTGGTCAATAACGGACGCTACTTTGGATTAGTCTTAATGACTATTTGTGGCTGTTCATATGCTAAGCCAACAATATCTTCGGATATAAGAACATTGTATAGAAAAATATAGCATGAAAACTCAAATAAATAAAAAATAAATAAAAATTGTCCTATACGAAATTTTAACACGTTAACATTTTAGAGGTTTTTGACAAGACAGTCTTCTCCAAGTCCACGCGTTCTTCTATTTTTTAACGTTATTGATCACGTAAATTTTTATCATATTTTTGTATTTTATAACGGATTTTTTTTTTGTATTTCATTTATTTTGTTACTTAACAAAAATAATCAACATACATATATACAAGAAAGAAAAAATATGCCCGTAAAACAAAGAAGATTGTAAAATCTTGTCAACAAGCACCGTTTTTGTATTAGCAATATAAAATACAAACTTTTTTTATTACAATGATCTTTATAAAACAAAGAATTAAACAGACAGGGGCTCAAAGATGACAATACATCATCGCAATTTTTATGGAATTTTTCATTAATATTTAAGAATTACTCAAGCACAAATGATTCTCAAACTTTAAAAAATTCTTTTTTGATTTGAAACTTAAATGAACTTAATGATTTTGCCATACATTTAAATCCTTTTTGATAGATATTCCATATATTTGGAGCTCGATATGCAATGCTGTATTCAGTATATTTGTTAAGTTTTGATGGTCGAGTACTTGCCCATGATATATTTGCATAACTGATGAAGCAATTAATTAATCCAAAATATATTAACTTGAGACTTTGTTTATTGATATACGAACTCGATACATCATGCCATTGGTGATCTTAGGTTGAATATATCTTATTTGAGAAATATATCTTATTTAAGGATTGCTTTTTTTTATGTAATAATAACTATAATAAAAGAACAAACAAACAAAAAAGAATACTCTAAGTGAGAATAGGCTCGAAATAAATATTACTTTATGTTAAGTATTCCAAAAGTAAGGAAATATTTTTATTCAGTGAGGTTTTTGATTTTTTTTTCCGCCACTATTTATAGAAATTTAAATTTAGAGGTTTTGCTATTATTTTTGGATGAAGGACATTAAAACATTTATTACGATTATTTTTTAATTGGTAACGTTGATCACTTTTGCTCTCTTAATTGTATATATATTTAAAAAAAATGATGTTTGTGAACCTGCATGTGATGCTTATCCTAAACCGAGTATAGGTTGGTAAAACTGATATGCAATACATGCTAAAAAAATAAAATCTTATATCGCAACGCAAACATCTATTAAAACAAAGGAGAGAATTCTGTACAAATGAAACTCAGAATTTTGTAATTTTTATTACATTTGAACCCACGTCCAACCGCTGAGAAAATGCCACCACCTAACTTAGATCTGTTTGGTGAAACAAAGACCATTTAGCAAACAACAAAATTTAGGAATGTGGAAGTTGGGACAAAGAACTAAGAGATTTTATCTTACCAATACCACACATCTACTACCTTTTTTTTATAAGGTATAAAAAGATATTTTAGATTATTCAAATTTTTGTTGTGCTAAAAACACTTGTGGTAATTATGCAGAAAATTTCAGCTTGATTTTTCAGCATGTAATTCTTTTGGATGCCAGGTAAACTTTTTCTTTTTTTTTTTGCGCAATGTAAAAAATTGGATATCTGTAGAAAAATTTTGGCGCTTAGCTTTAAATTCTTGAGAGGTTTATGCAGAACCCTCTCTCGCTTATAACAATTGTAATTCTTATTACTATTGAGATCAATCCAATCATTTTCTTCACTGTTACAAATTATTGAATATTAAAGCATATTTATTAAATTATTGTCTTATAGAATTTTAACAAGAAATGCGACGCGTTGGCGCTAATAATACTAAATGTTTGTTCCTCTAAAAAAATAACTATGTATATATGCATGCATGTTTGTATGCATGTGTGTACATGTTTTTATGTATGTATGTATGTATGTATGTATGCATGTATGTATGTATGTATGTATGTATGTATGTATGTATGTATGTATGTATGTATGTATGTATGTATGTATGTATGTATGTATGTATGTATGTATGCGTATATGCATGTTTTCTTTGTATTTCCAAAAAAAAAACCTGTATGTATGATATATAAATAAGCATTTAACAAAAAACACGGGAACATATTAGTGGAGATTACTCATCATCACGACGCGTAGGAATTTGAGTTAAAGTAGGTACAATTTCCTCAATGATGTTTTTACATGCAGCTGAGATTATTGTACGACCCATGAGATCAAAATCGCAACCTGTAATAAAAAAGTTTGTTTTTACGCTAGAGTCGTTTAAAATAATTTTATCATATAAAATATCGTGAAAAAGAAGTTACTAGCCTAACGTTGTAGTATTGAAACCTCCCGCCTCTTCTACCATCAAATTACTAGCTGCCATATCCCAGCAATGAGGACCCCACTCAAAATATAAGTCTAATGAACTGCACGCAATCATACACATATTTAACGCGGCTGAGCCAGTGCTTCGCATACTACAAAGTTTAAAGAGTTTAATTTAATCAAAATTAAAATAAAAAATAATATTTTTTCATAACAAAGTAATTGTGTATACATGAACTTACCCTCGAACCTGATGTTTTTGCATGATATCCAATAAATTTCTGCTTTTTAAAGCCAAAACATTACTATCTCTATCTGCTCCCCATTCAAATGCAATTAATGCGTTTGACAAACCTAAATTTTTAAATGTATTTAATAATATGTAATACAATGCATATGTTAATGACAAATACACAGCAAATTCTATTTTTGTAGCATATTATTTGCTTTCAGATTCATTTGCGCATTGATTAATTTATTTCGTCAAATTGCGAATCAAACCATGTTTCAAATCAAATATTAATACAAATGTCGTGTCTATTAATTAATTTATTTATTTTATTATTATTTAATAACTAATGTTTATACAGGATAAGTAAATATATAAAAAAATTGTTTTCCATTAACGTCCTGTAATAAAATAAAATAAATAACATTATAATAACTAAAATAAAGGTACAACAAAATAAATGTTTAAAATATGATAAAATACTGCTATAAAGGTAAGGTTAAAATTTTTGCATAAAAAATATAATATATTTGAATATAGACGTTTATAAAAATAACGCAAACAAAATGTCAACTGATGGATAAATACAAACGTTAGAGATTAATCTAGATATAAATAACACTGTAAATAAAACAAAAAGAGATTAACAGCTTTTTATATTATTATATATTATATCAATATATAACCTATTTGTTAATAATATTTTATGAAACAGTGCAACAGAAATTTTGATTGTCAAGATTTTCTCGTCTTGCAAACCTTAATATCTTTAGTATTAAAGATTATTGTGTTTTGATATAAGATATATTATATATGTAACAAAACACACAAATTTTGTTACATTTCCATTAAATACTTATAAAAAAGTACGCAGTATTAAACACTTTTTGACTTTGTTGTAAATATTCTGTCGCAACAACATAAATAATTTTGTTATTTCCAAGTCTCAAGCCATCAGAAGTGACTTAAATGATTGTTTATAATAAACATAATAGGACATGTTTTTATAACATTTGCGACGGAACATAATGGGACATGTTAATTCCGAGAGCTGAGAGCATTATGTTGAAATGTTTTATCACTAAAGCAAAATTAATGTCGTAAATTTTGATGAATACGTGACACTAATTGGGCTAAAAACTAAACTTTATGACCACTCTGGAATTTTAATTTTATTTGTTATGGCTACTTCAATAACATCATATTGTCAATATATATATATATATATATATATATATATATATATATATATATATATATATATATATATATATATGTATATATATATATATATATATATATATATATATATATATATATATATATATATATATATATATATATATATATATATATTAATATACACATACATACATACATACATATATACATACAAACAAACATACATACATACATACACACACCATGAGCACATCATTTCTGTTTTTGTTACAACTAGGGCTGTACCGGATTTCGGCTCCGGGTCCTGCTACGGCCGAAATCCGGCTATTTTTACAAATCTGGCCTAAATCTGGCTCCGGCAAATAACTAGCAAATCCGGCATAATTTTAGCCGAAGTTTTGAATTTTAGTTAAATATTTATTACATTTTTTTTTTGTTACATGTATACATGATATTTTATTTATTTTTTCTCGTAATTCTTTTTTTTTTCGTAATTTTACGAACTTCACGTTTGTTTTGGTATCTGTATTTATATTTCTTTACAATTTAATAAGCTTATCCTAATTTCAAACAACGCAACAAAAAATTCTAAAGTGAAAAAAACATGATATTCTACAATGATGCAGGTGTAAAGACTATGATGTCAACCCTAATCAAGTCATTGAATAAGCGTTTTAAAAGCATTGAAAAGAGAAACCTCTTTATATAGTGACGACACTGGTTGATTCACAATTTAAAACTAAATTCACCTCATTACAGGCAACACTGACAGCTGAAAAAGCAAGATTGAAGTCAATCTGAGCATGCTGAGCAGAGGATTGACAAAACTGAAGAAAATCCAGCAAAATAAGCTAGGCTGGATAATTTTTCAACATCATCATCATTACTCAGGCAATTTATTGATAAAATTATTCAGTCTACATCCGCTGGTGGCACAGCACATGAACAACAATTACTAAAAGGCATTGACACTCAGCTAAGCCAATATCTGGAAGAACCAGAAATAAATAGACACACTGATCCACTACAGTGGCGGACAACATCCCGGAAAAAAAGTTCAATAGAATTTCTATAAACTTTTTAAACAATTGGCCTATAGAATTTCTATAGAACGTCTATTAATTTCTATAGAAACTGCTATAAAACTTTTTAATAACAAAAATCAAGTTTAACAGAAAACAGCTGTCACTTTGTGACAGCTGTTTTCTGTTAAAACAGCTGAGTAGTCTACATTGGACTATTCTCAACACCAAGTAGGGATGTACAAGATTTTGGCTCCTGTAATTTTGTTTCGAAATCCGGCTCCGACTCCGATTCTGTCCGAATCTGTTGTAGAAATCTGGCCCCGGCTGGATTCGGAAAAATTAAATCTGGTACAGCTCTAGTTACAACTGTCACACACACAAAAATATAAATCTTAAAACATAAAATATCAGTTATTTTAAATTGTAAAGTTTAACAAAAAAGCATAAGTAAAAATACGTACAACTAGGAGGATTTAATATTTTTAGTCTTTGTCCATTTAGGTAAGCACCTTCATTTTTCACTGCCACATAAAGGTCATTAAGAATTGGTGCATAAACTACGCCAACTTCACTCTAATGATAAAAATATAAAAGAAAATTTTTTTGTTTTTTTAAATGTGTTTTTGATTAAATATTTTAATAAGAAAAAGATTATTATGAAATTCAAATATCAAACAAACACAGCCTATCATATTAAACAATATCAAAAATAAGGATGAATGCCATTATATATATATATATATATACTAGCTGACCAGACCAGTAAAAATACGGGTTTTTATAAGTTTATTTCACGCCAATCTCTTCTATACTTTTTCATATCCTAGCTGTCCAGACCCTATTTATTTCTATACTTATCTATTCAACACGGATCATTTCTATACTTATTCTTTATTTACTTATTAGTAAATAGTAGAAAAATAATTCATTTAAAAATAATAGCTTTAAAGAGCAAAAAAAAAATTCACATGCGCTAAAGATGTTTACACTTGCAGACGTTTGTATGCAACGCTACGCAAATGGCAGAACTAAGAAAATGAAGTAATTTTAGCAAACAGAAATTATCAAAAGAGGAGAGAGTCATGGTAAATCTAAAATCGAAGTTTCAAATTTTTCACTTGGAGGAGACCATATAGTTAATGTTTTTTGAATCTTGTCAATATTTTGAAATACAATAAAATAAATACAAAATTCAAAACGAAACAGTTTAAGCAAAAAAGACAAGCAATTATAGAAAAGTTTTCTTATATTACACACAATCCTTTATATAATATTTAAAACCCTTAAATCACCATATTTGTATATTTTTATGCTTTTATATTTTTATGCTTTTATAATTTTATTATTATTTAATTGCTTGGTGTAGTTAAAGCAATTTTTTATTTTAATTCTTTTATTTGGAATTAGCATGATTTCGTCAGCGTATTATGTCCAAGCAAGAGCTTTAGATGTAATAATTTTTTTTGCTTCAGGTTTTTATTATGTTGAAAGAAACTTTTTTTTTTTTTTATAATTTTATACTTTATTACTACTTTTTTGAATCTTTTGATCAATTTCGCTCAATGGTGTTAACTTGATTTTAGTTAAATTTGAAAAAAAAAGTGTTAACCCACTATAGATCCTAGTTCTAATCTGCTCTGATAAGTACTATTAAAATATAGTTGTCGAAATACAACATTTCTGTCTATTTTCATTAAAAATTTTGACTAAGAAACAGCTTATAGTTACAAAAAACTGCCAATAAACAATCATAACTGAACATACTATTAAACTACAATGTTTATTTCACATAAACAATGCATTTATTTAAAATCTTATTCAAATCTGGAAAATCCTTGTTTTTAAGAGATTAAAAAAAAAAGAATTTCTGGTCTGGGTTTTTTTGCCTGAAACATTTTTGTTTTGTGTTACAACAAAATTTTAAAAAATCTATTGTTTTTTTTTTTTTTGGCTTGTCATAATGCAGAGACCTTATCAATTAATAGAAATATGTTGTGTTCAGCAAAATATCAAAGAGATGCTGTAATATTTTAAAATCACCTTGACTATACCAAGTACTTAGTAATTTGGTTATAAAATTTAACTTTGAATAGTGTAAATTGTTGCTTGTGGATGATATAAATTAAATTGAAAAAAAAAACTTCTTTTTGTGTTCATTTGTAGCCAAAAGAACTTATTTTACCATATTAAGGCATTTTAAGGCATTTTATATCGTTATTAATTTACTTAGTAATTTTTGTGCTAAAATTATAAAAATTTTTTTCAAATCGTGATAAATTGTTACCATTTGATGATATAAGGAAAATAGAACAGATAATAATCAAGTTTTTTTTGTTTTCTTTTTCTGCTGGGGGACTTATATTGTGCATTTTTAGACTTTTTATTGATATTTAATTATTAATTTAATCCTAAGTTTTTTAATGTTTTCTGAAATAAAATTATCGCTGGATTTATAAACCATTTTCTAATTATCTATTTAGTGATTCTAACTAACACTTTTGCAAATTATTATTATATATTTATTTTTGCAAATTATTATTATTTATTTATTTTATTTTTAGGCTTTTTCTATTGTTTTAAATTACTTATTAATTTACTATTTATTAGTATATAAATTGTAGTGATTCTAACAAGCACTTTTTAAAATTATCATTATTTATTTATTTTAAAATGAATTACAAAAAAATTTACTATTTATTAGTATATAAAGATTATTATACTATTAGTAAATAAAGATTGTAATATTAATACCATAAAAATTACCAATATCCATATATATACCAAATAATCTATATGTATATGATTTATTGAATTTAAATCTATTTTTAGAATTCAATATTGCAAATTGAATAAAACTATGTTTTTATTTAGAAACTTAAAAATATTTTGATTTCTGTGACAAACTATGACATGAGCACACTTGTCCTGTTTATGGCATCAAACATGAACTTACTACTCGCAAGCTCTTAAAAAAGTCATGCAGCATTCTTTTGTTAAATTACAACTTCCTAGGGTTACCAAGTCAAGCACAATAGTTTCTAGAGTTTCTGAAAATGTAAACATCATTTGAAATCTGCTATTCAAACTGTTACAATGCAAAGAGTGCAGCATAAAGTAGAATCTTTGCACAATAATTTGAGAATGATTCTTAAAAAAAAAAAGATTAATCAAAGACTTCAGCAGTATCAGTTGCTAAGATGCAGTTTCAGTTGCTAAGATGGAAAGTTTAGTTTTGTTTGACATTGCAGCATAAAATTTTATAAAAAATATTTTTCAAGAGAGACTTTTTATTACTTTTTTATTGATGAAACACTAAGTGTATACTTCAAACAATGCTGTGTAAGCATCATCAAACAATGGTGCATAGGCAGCAGCAACCAAGTCTAAAACTTGCATTTGTTTAAATGATATACTTTATCATTTAAACATTTTTTTTTTATTTCTTGCTTTACTTTCTATTATTTGTTGTTTTTAAAATTTTTAACTTTTTTAGCAAAATGAAAAAATAAAGTTCATTCAAGTCAATTGAAAAATGGTTCGACCAAATTGTTTTTGTTTTTTTTTAACAAATATTTTCAAAAATTTATTTTACTAACTCAAAATTATTTTTGATAATATTTAAATAAAACATATAAAATATATAGAACTAAATATATATTTTTAATATTTAAACTCTAAAAAATACATTAATTATGAAAATAATGTTATGTTAAATTAAAAGAAAATCTAATTTTATTTTACCTTTTTGTTTATTACTAGACCAATAGAAACAGCAACATATGGATTTCTGAATGTAAAAATACATACATATTTTAATATTTTTGCTCTCTCAATGTATTAGGGTGGTGCTCAAAGCAATATTTTATATATATGGATATATATTTGGGTGTCCCAAAAAAAACATTTTTGAAATAATTTGATCCCACTCCCTAAATGTGTTCTATCTAATACAAAAAAACTAGGTTTAAAACTTTTTTGAATAAAAAATATTTTAAGGGGTTCCTCAAGACCCTTGAATATTTAATGAGTCCCTAATATTTAAAAAAAAAAGTTTTTCAAAAATATGTCAAATGAAGCAAAATTATAAAACAATTTCAAAAATAATATAAATTTTGAAAAAACTTTGTTATATTTGGTTTTATCATTGTTATATTGGTATTATTAACTTATCAAAATTATCATAAAAAAACAAAAAATGCATTTTTTTCATTTTTTGTGAAAAAACATAATTTGTTATGTAATAAAACCAAAAATATATTTTTTTAAATATTATTTTTGAAATTTTTATATAATTTCGCTTCATTTGAGCATCAGGTTGACATACTTTTAAAAACCCTTATTTTTGAAAATATTAGGAACCAATTAAATATTCGAGGGTCTTGAGGGACCCCTTAAAATACTTTTTATTCAAAAAAATTTTAAACTTAGTGTTTTTGTATTAGTAACACATTTTGGGGGTGGGAGCAGATTATTTTCAAAAATGTTGCTTTTTGGAACACCCTAATATATATATATATATATATATATATATATATATATATATATATATATATATATATATATATATATATATATATATATATATATATATATATATATATATATATATATATATATATATATATATATATATATGAATAATTTTAAATATATTTTACAAAATAGAGTGCTAAATGTTTTTTAAAGAACAGAGTAATAATAAATTAGTATAAAATAACTTATCAAAATTTTTTTTTTTTACAGTGTTTTACCAATAAAGACTCATCAGAAATTTCTGATGAGTCTTTATTGATGAAACAGTATAAAATGAAAAAAAAAATTTGATAAGTGATCTTCCAATTTATATATATATATATATATATATATATATATATATATATATATATATATATATATATATATATATATATATATATATATATATATATATATATATATATATATATATATATATATATATATATATTTATTGGAATTTTCATGCTATATTTTTTTATGCAATGTTCTTATATCCAAAAATACTGTTGGCTTAGCATAGGAACAGCCACAAATAGTCATTAAGACTAATCCAGAGTAGCATTCGTTATAGACCAACATTTTTGCGTACTGAAATACTACTCAAACGCTGAGTTGGCGGTGGCAGGATTTGAACTCATATCTTACAACTGCCTGGGTTTAAACTTTTTGTTCTATGCTCTAACCAACTGTGCTATCCAGCCACAATATATATATATATATATATATATATATATATATATATATATATATATATATATATATATATAATAGAAATATAGGTTTGCAAACTATCAAAGAACTATACATTTTTTTTCTTTGTTAAAAAGTATAATCCTTCACTTTAATAAAATTTCCTAGATGATTAAAAAATAAAAAAAATAAGGAGAAATTAAGGAGAGTAGTCAAATTTTATATTTTTTTAAGGTTATTTAAGGACTTTTAAGGATAATTTTTTTTTAAGGATATTTAAGGAGGAGTGAGAACCCTGTATATATATATATATATATATATATATATATATATATATATATATATATATATATATATATATATATATATATGTATATATATATATATATATATATATATATATATATATATATATAAATTAGTAAAAAATCACTTAACAAAATTTTTTTTTATTTTACACTGTGTTTCATCAACAAAGACTCATCAGATTTCTGATGAGTCTTTAAGAACATTGAGCACTCTATTTTGTAGAATACATTTTTTTTTAATTGTTTATATATATATATATATATATATATATATATATATATATATATATATATATATATATATATATATATATATATATATATATATATATACACTTACTAAAGCGTGTTTTGATAAGCATTTTCGAAAAAGAAGAAAAAACAAAGAATGATGAATAAAACGATTGCTTCCTTATCCCAAACCCTCAGTCGATGTAGCAGCACTCCACTGCGAGTCAGGCTATTTGTCAGTCGATATATGTACTGAAGCCCCCAGCAGCAGGCTATTTCAGTATGACGTCAGATTGCTTACCTTTGTACGCAATACTATTTGTATATATATATATATATATATATATATATATATATATATATATATATATATATATATATATATATATATATATATATATATATATATATATATTAAAAATTACGTTTTGCAATGTATAACTAGGGGCAAGGAGGGTTCAAAATTTTATATTTTTTGTTTAACCAATTATTATTAATTTTTTTAAGAAAAGTTCAATGAACAATTCAGTTTTTGCTACTTTTTTGTGGTTGACCTTCTACTTTAAATTTTAACATTTAAAAAATAATTAAAAACTTAAAAACTAGAAATCTTTGCAGCGTGTTCTTAGTGTGTAAAGTTATGCATCTTTATGTTAAAATTTATGCAATTTAAATTTTCATTGGATAACTTAGAATTAAAATGAATGAAAGTTGCACTTAAACAAAAATAAGTCTTATCTAGTGTAAAAATTTGTCTTAAATTACTTCACTAGAAAATATTTTGCTATTAATTTTGTAAACTCAATTAGGTACTGATTAAAAATATTGCAACAAGAAGTAACAAACTAATAAATAAATAAATTATAAACTATCAAACAAACAAATAAAAATTATTAAACTTCTTTAGAAATCTCCCAATAATTCACAAATTTTATCATATAAAGCCTTTACTCAGGGTTGTTTTTGTACTTGTCTTTAATTGAGTCAACAATAAATTATCTTTTGGAAATCTTCATTAAATAAGTTTCCTTCTCAGTCGTCGCAGAAGCAATTCGTATATATGCATCAAAAAACTTGGATGATTGTATCATTCTTGCAAATAGTTTAGAAAATTTAGCTATATTTCTTAGACAGAAAATAAGGAAGTATTATGGGTTAGGAAAAAGATATGATAGAATAACTCATGTATTACATTTTTAATCAGGTTTTTGCAATATATAAAACAATTACAAATAGCATTAAGCTTAAGCATCAACTTGGAAAGTCCTCACAACAATCCACAATCACCTTTGATGATTTTTCTTTTAGATATTAAACTGCTCCAATAAGTATTATAAAGCACCATTATAAAGCATGGAAGTATCACAAAGCACCATGGAAGTATCACAAAGCACCATGGAAACTGCCAAGTATCTTATCACAAATCACCATGGAAGAACAATTTAACTAGGAAGTTTCCTTTCTTACCGATGTTGCTTACTGGTCAGAGCTAACATCGAATCTCAGACCTCTTGATTCTGAAAAAGAACTGAAATCACTGTACCACAGTTGCAATTAAGTTATTTCACATTTTCACTAGTAACTATTACAAACTGTTCCTTATATGGAGTAATTTTATGTATAACGCCTAATTTTTTGTTTTGTTTATAACTACACATAATGATTACGTATTTTATTGATAAAACAAAAAGAAAAATATTTCCCACAGATTCTACTTTGATAATAATAATGATTTCATTTAATTTAACAATTAATTTGTTTTGTCAAAATATTCACTTATTGAAAATGAAGTAGAAGGCCAAATATTTATAATGAAAAAAAGTATTAAGCAATTCAAAATCAGCATAAAAAATTAATTAAGAAAAACTACAAAAAATCCTTAAAAAGTTAATTTTGGACTCCCCCTGCCCTCCTAGTATAACTTTTTACTTTTTTAATTTACTAGTTTTCATTACTAAAATGTATAAAATACCTGTGAACAAAATTAGTTGTACCATCTATAGGATCAACAATCCAAGTAGGTTCTAATGACAATTCAGAAGATTCACCATTGCTAACAGATTCTTCTCCAATAAATCTAAAATTAAAAATATAAACAAATAGTTAAAAAAATTTATAAAGAAATAAAATTTATAAAAGAAATACAAATAGTTACTACAGCTTTTACAACTATTCTTTGTGATTGAATTTAACATGTCAGTTGAGCTTTAGAAAAGTTGAGCTTTAGAAAAGAAAATTATGTAAATATTTTTATTATTTTTATTACATTTTACAAAACTTTAATATTTGTACCAAATATTTTAATGTTATTATTATCATTCAACTTAAACTAAAAACTATTTTACAATTAAACTGGAACTAAAAAGTGTTGTAGTGGAAGAGCATTCGTTGCAAGCTGTTGTTGTAGTGGTAGAGCATTCGTTAGACATACAGAGAACTAAACATGCCCTTTGTAGTACTGCACAATAGTTGTTAAGTTAAACTTGAAGAAGTAAATCACATAATCATACGAATAGTTGTTAAGTTAAACTTGAAGAAGTAAATCATATAATCATACAAATAGTTGTTAAGTTAAACTTGAAGAAGTAAATCATATAATCATACGAATAGTTGTTTAGTTAAACTTGAAGAAGTAAATTCTTTTTTGCTCCCAGGTCTCCGCATTCTTAACTTTTTGCAACGAATCTTCGTTTAGCATAGGTATAAGCATACTTAAGTTTGGAGCTTGTGCAATCTCCAAACATATGAGTATAATATGAGAAAAATTCCCATTTTAAGTCAAGTTTGGGGCTGAGACCCATGGTCATTTACTATAAGGAGATGAGAGAAAATAAAACAGTTCAGTTTACATTGTAACTATCAAAAACCATTATTAAAACCAAATCATAATCATTTTAATTTCTCAATGATCTTGTTTATCTAAGGAGTCGTCCATAAAGTACGTACGTCAAAAATTTTGAAATCTGACCCCCTCCCTCTCTCTGTTGCTATGTGTACTTCTAAGTCCTTCCCCCCCTCCCCCTTAAAAATTACATACATTTTTGAAATACCCCCCCCCCCAAACTTATTTTTTCAATGAAAAAGTTTGTAGAAAAAAAAAAGTGAAGGAGGTACCTTAGCTACTTTATATGACCCAAAAGCTCTTCGTTTGCGGCAAATTATCCGAATTTAACAATTCTCTTTAAATATATATGCAAAAACTAATTTAAATATAGTTTAATTATCCTTTATCGATGTGTTCACTTGGTCTAGCGGTTTGTTCTACAGTCAGAGGCGACAGAGATCCGTGTTCGATCCCTGGTTGAGTTAAATTGTAATTTTTGTGTTTTAATGGCGAATCAAATAAAAATAAACTATACTTGAGGCGGACCTTTTTTGCAGGCACCCCTATTTAGTAAGTCCGCAAAAAATGAGTCCTATCCGAGACCAGTAATATCGAAAACAAAGCCTAAAACCCAGTGCCAAGGATAGGCTACCCGTACCCCTTAATTTGGGGGAAAAGGGGTAGGGGGAAAAAGGACAAAAAATTTTGTGTCTTTTTGTTAACTTAAGGAGCTTTTTATTTTAGCGAAATCTAGTGGTAAAATTTGAAAGATTTTGAGACCCAAATGACACTTTTTTTTGGGGGGGGGGGTGGGGGGGGGGGGGCTCCGACCGATTAGCCACGGCACTGCTAAAACCTGTTTTTTGTCGACTCAAAAAATATATTGTCTGAAATAAGCTTTACTCAGGGCCAGTATATAAGGGGTGGCATGTGTGCATATGCGCCCGCGGGATTTTTTGATGTTCTAGATAAGACACTTTCACACATTTAGCATAGGTATACTTAAGTTTGGAGATTGCACAAGCTCCAAACATAAGTATGCCAATGCCAAATGTGTGAAATTTGTGTAGTAAAATTTCAACTTTACCATCTAAAACTAAATTTAAATTTATCGACAGATTTAAAATTTCGTAGAAAAATATTGTAAATTACATAAGTTATGACCATACAAAATTTACAACCTTCCTCTTTTTTTTAGGGGGGCGTTTCAGGGTTCATCTGGCGTTTCAGGGCTTTTTTGCTCTCAGGTCTCCGCATTCTTAACTTTTTGCAAGGCCTCTTCCTTTAGCATAGGTAATACTTAAGTTTGGAGTTTGAACAATGTATGAAAGTGTCCTATCTGGAACATCAAAAAATCCTGCGGGCCCCTTGCATGTGTGTGAAACTATATGACTCTCTACTCCCTATACCAAACATCTTTTTGTGTTGGTAAACTAGGATCTTTAGTCAGAATTTTACCTTTTTTATTGATTAGCTGGTTAATTGCGATAAATTAGAAAATTGATGTATGTACTTTTAAATTAAACCTCCCCCATCCACCCCATACGCCTTTTGAAGACCCCCCCCTCCCCCTATAAGCGTAGGTACTTTATGGACAACCCCTAAACAAACTTTATTTCAAAGAACGACAATTAACATGCCATTATATAAGTTGTTAATAAAAAAAATTAACAATTTATTTAAAATCTTGTTTATTTAAACTTGTTCAATTATAAAAATTTGTGCAAATGCAAAATATCTTGATCAATAAATACATTAAACATATGAGTATAATATTCTATAAATTTATGAACAGTTACATTTGCAATATTAAAGTTATAATCAATTACTTGTGTGATGGAAACTCTGTTTTCAATGAACTAAAAATCAACTTTTCAACCAACTTGTCAGTATCAGTGACTAAATCTGTTGCACAATCTTTTGTAGACACAGTTTTTACTTGATGATAACAGTCTTTAATTATCTAACATATGATTGTCACAACTTTTAACTTTTATTGTATTATTAAAACACTTTTATAAGATAGTATATAAATATTTAAATAAAATAAAATAAAATCTTACATTTCCAGCATTATTAGCGATATTTATAGCTGTAAGAACATAATGAAGACGACAATCTTGTTTTGAGGCTAGCTTTTGAAGACACTCTTGCAAAGACATTTCAATAAATAGAATAACCTGGAATGGCTATTCTGTTTTTATATATTTATAGCTATGTACTAAAAGGAACCAAAGGAAACAACTGAAAGGATAGCCAGGTAGGCTAGAAATCCTTATGTTGATAAAAAAAAATCAAAAAAAATTCTTGTTTTTACACGACTGCTAATCAAAGCAGAGTTCAAATCACATTTTATTAGTCTCAGTTTCCTTTGGTTTTCGAAGTTCCCTATCATCTCAGTAATTTATGTAAATTAAATATGTATATATACATATAGTATCTATGTAGATTGTATATACATATACACAATTACTTCTGCGGGTTTATTTATATAAATTGCACACTTTAATTTTTAAAATGCAAACTTTAATCCAGACAGTTTTTCAGATTAAAAAAAGAACACAATTTTTTATTTTCTTTAATAAAAATCCTTTTTATGTAGATTTTACTTTCGCAAACCCTCAGTCAATGTGTCTGTACTAAAGCCCTCACTGACAACTATAATACAGCACGAATAAAGAAAACATTATTTTGAAATGTTACCCCAAAAAAATTAAATAACTCAGAAAACCAGCAAAGTATATAAAATAAAGTCACCAATCATTTTATTGAGGCTTTACAATACAATAAGGCCTATTCCATATTTGCACTTCACCTTTTATATGAAATTGATGGAACAGTTTTTGTTTAAATTTAGTAGATTATTTTCACAAGATTAATATGTTTATAATTTTTTATTCTGCTCAAAATTGGTGCTGGACATTGGTGCCCCCAAGATCTTCCTTAAAACCCATCTAAAGAAGGTAGGGGGGGAACAAATAATAGTTAATTTTATTTGGCAAAATGAACATTGGTTGATTGTACCTCTTTAGCAGGGGTTGTAAATAGTCTGAGGAGCGTTTATGACACCTATTTTGACCCCTGCACATATATATGTGCAATTTTAATATGCTTATTAGAATACTCTTTTTTTACACAGTTCTTAAACTAATTTATTTGCTGTACTCTCCTAAGTAAATAGAGTCCTAATGTGTGTACATTTTAATGTGTGTAAGGGCGTACTTATGGGCATGTGCATTTAAACCAATTTACAAAAAAAATTATCATGTTTTTGTTATCTGATGATCAGTGATCATATAGTAAAAAATTCTAAAGTAAAAAATCATCATGAAAACTTTTTCACCTTTATAGGTGCATAGGTACAGCAAATGCATTGATTATCATACATTGAATGATCAAAGCACAGTCATGTTAAATAATAATAGACTAATATTTTTTTAGTTTCCAAAAAGAGTCATGTCTGAAAATACAAAAACCCATAAATATTTAAGCAAACTTTCATTAAATTTAAAAAAAGAATTTTTTATTTTCAATTCATTTTTAATGCAGTGTAATCAAAAATTTTTCTGGGAAATATACAAAAGTACAGGACTGAGATTGATATTAATGAGTAATCAGCAACAGGACTGGGATTGTGATTGAACAATTAATTTTTGTTATGATACCTCCTATTCTAGTAATTTATCTAAAATAAAATAGAAAAAAAAGATAAAAATTTATAAACAAAAAAATACAACATAAGAAACTAAATTTTTTATGTAGGTTTTTTATGATCTATTTAGTAGTAGCTTTTTTATGATCTATTTTCTTCCTACCTTTTTTGTTTTTTTTATAAACATTTGTAATGAAAATTTTTTTTTCTCAGAGTATGCTTTGTTTATCAGATTTTGAACAAAAGGAAAATTGTCACTTGAACACCTATGTAAACTATACAATCTCTTGGACATACCACCACCACCACCACATTGATATATTCATTGGCTATTCAAAGCAAGAATGAGTTTTGATTTATTGTAATAGAGATGATAGCTCATTTAAGCATTGACCATGATTAGAGTAACAGCAAAAAATAGGAAGGCTCAAGTCAGATGATGATGATCATCATCGTCATCATCATCATCACCATCATCATCATCATCATCATCATCATCATCATCATCATCATCATCATCATCATCATCATCATCATCATCATTATGATGATATGATGATGATGATGCTGAAGATGATCATGATGAATATAACCGGGGCTGCATAAATGTTTATGCAGCCCCGGTTATAAACCCTGACCTAGCCCCAGCTATATTCTATCAAACCTGTCCCCAGCCATAGTCAAATATCAACCTTGGTTGCTTACTATTACCAATAAACTTCAAATAAATAATAATATTTACTTGAATATGAAAGAATACATTTATTACAAGCTTCCTAAACTCATAAAAATATTAAAAGAACATTTTAAAAAGTATATATACCTGTGATGGTGCCAAAAAACTTATATCTGCTTTTAGAAACCATTATGTATAGAAAAGACAAATAAATATCAGTTATTTTTATTTAAGTTTGCAATTTCATTCATCAAAAGAAATTATTAGTTACCATAAGCCATATTTAATGAACCTTTACTAGTAATATAGACCAATTAAACAAAATTAAAATATTTGATAATAGAACCATTAAGATATAAACCTTTATAAATTTCTTAATTGTCCTTGTATAGAATGCTGTTGTCATATTCCTTAGTTTCAGCATCTATATTACTCCAGTTTTTTTAGATTATAATTTTTCTTTTTTTCCCAGCAGACACTATTGTTCTTTATAGCTAAATCATTCAGCTACTCTGCTGATAGGTTACTATTCAACTTTGAAATACTTCTTTTACTTATTTCAACATAATACTAACATCTCTTATATCTACTTCCAAAACTACTTTTTCTTTCCTTTAGCTTGTGTTTTAAGACAAAAATATCTTTTTTCTTTATCTTCTGCCTTTCTCATTTTATTTTTTAATATTTCCTTATTCATTAGCTTAGGATTTTCTTCCATCCAAATACTTTATTTAATTTTTTAAACTATTGTGGTTGTTTTTTTGTTTTTTATAATTCAGCAAAATTTAATACATTTCTTTGATTGTTTAATTTCATTCACTTTTTCAATGAGTTCTCAATTTTAAATTTATCAATTGGGTAATAAGGTATGAAAAAGACCTGTTTTAAATATGGTCCAAAACAATCTGAAAATTGCTTTTTTTTATCCCGCTGAAGATACACTTTGATATTTTCAAAGATTAAGAATAACAAATTTTTAAGAACTAAATCATGATATATGCAGATAAATTAGAACTCTTTATTATTCAGACATGACTATTTAATGAAACACCCCAGCAGAACAGTGCCTTAAAACTATTCAATTTTTGATTCTTTAAAAATTTTAAATGGTGCACAAAAGAAACTTCCTTTGATAACTTAAAATAATTTAATTTTTTACTTAATTTTGAAGAATTTTTTTTTATTAAAATAAAAAAAAATCTATACCAAAATTTTTTATTTAACTTTCAAGAAAAAAAAAAGATAAAAACATGCATATTGTAAAAACAAAATGTCACAAGATATATGAACATATACACATATTTATAATTATAAATTTATATATATTTATATATATATTTATATATATATATATATATATATATATATATATATATATATATATATATATATATATATATATATATATATATATATACACATAAATATATATATATATATATATATATATATATATATATATATATATATATATATATATATATATATATATATATATATATATATATATATATATATATATATATATATATATAAAGTAAACAAACATGGCAGCTAATTTTGTTTTTAAATAATAGTAAACAAAGCCGGCGGACGATCGAAGGTTGTAATGAAATTAATGATAGGACGCAGAATTTAATTTTTGAATATCATTTACAAAATAAAAATATTTATAAACAAAAATATTTAAGGACATCCATATATTGGGGAAGTTCGTAACTTCGCATTATTTGGTTACATTATTTGATTATGTTTTACTATGTTTTCAGATATAACTTTGAGTTTTTTTATAATAATTTTTTCCAGATCTGGGATTCTGGAATCTAGATTCAGAGCAGTAATTAGTTAAACAATTATTTATCAGAATTTTTATGAGAAACTTGAATAAAAAAATATACAAAACTTAAAAATAAAAAAATTACAATAAAAGTTCTTTATATACTTCGTTTAACTCTAGGTATCAACTCTAGGTATTTAAATTAAATACCTAGAGTTAATGTATTAAATTTTAATACATTCCGAACTCTAGGTATTTAATAGATTCCGAACTCTTCTTAGAGAGCTAAAAGTGAATCTGATTTGCGCAATAATCTTTGCAACTTTATCATCTTTAACATAATCTTCACATAACATCTTTATCAGTGAAATTTACTCAGAAGTAAGACCTAGTTTTGGTTTATTTCTTATAACTTGAGAACTTGAATTAGCATTTTATTTACATTTTATGTTTGAGGCATTAGAACCATGGGTACCACCGCCTCAAACCACTGTTCAAAAGCCAGGTCGAGCAGATTCCTTGCTTCTGCACTTTATCGGCATCTTTAGGCATCTCGTAGCTATAAATCCTTTGTCATCATATTTGAAACACTAAAAGATTTTCTTCGGAGATTTTTTCTGTTTAAATAATACTTTGCATTTTAATGTAACTTTGTAACATACTAAAGGAATTTTTTAGCATGATGCTAAGACACAGTGTTAATAGCATTATTATCATCTTTTAACATGCTGTTTAGCGCAGCTCGCAATTTAGGTAGCATCAATCGATTGGGTCCATCACTGCTCGAATTCTTGATGATAAAACCACAATTGTATTAAACCTTATATTGTATATAATTTTTAATAATATTAAATTTGCAAATATAAAATATAGAAAGATTATATTATATATATATTTATATAAAACCAGCTAAAAAAAACTCAATAAAAACCTGGCAATCGGGGTTTTTATTGGATTTTATAATTTTATGAACTATTAAAACCTTCAATTCTAAAAACATAAGCATATTATAGTAGCTATAAAAGAAAAGTTTATATTCAAGCACAATATTATTTTTTTATAAAAAACCTTTTCACGATAATAATTTGAGAAACCAAAGCAAATTAAAAGATTCATTCAATACAATTTTTTAGAATAAATACATTTTGGTGAGAATAATTATATTTTTGATATATTTTTTTACAAAATCAACAAT